GGAGCCAAAAACCATAGAATAGAAAAGGAATTAGGTAGCCTTTCCTTTTTCCCTTCTCCGTCTGTTTCTTTTCGCCAGAGTTTTTTTGCTGGAACCCCCCGTAGCCCAGTCGCTTGTCTGTCAGTCAGTACGTTCTTACCTTCTTTCTTCAACCCATCTGTTCTTCGGGTCTTCTTCTGCGGGTGAACGCAAGCATGAGCGGCCGCGGTGGTTGTACCAGCCGTGCTGCCAATTCCTCCTATCTTGCTCCATGGTGGAGCGGAGCTCTGTCAGGCCGCCCAAAGAAGATGGCAACCGAACAGACGAGCCTCTTTCATCGTTCGTGCGAAATTGGCCGTCCGCGGAAGTGCATGTGTTACATCGACTGTCCCTGAGGCAGGTTAGTAGAGAAAAGGGGAGATGAAAACGACGAGCACCAATAGCTAGTGGCTGGCAAGAGGGGGTAGGGTGAACACCAAAGCGAACTGTCTGAACCAGAACAACCATCGCTTTATCCTGGGTTGGATCTCTTCCCTGTCTGCTGTTAGGCTGTCTGTCCCCTTTCGTCGGCACACCGACCAGCAAACCTAGTAACCGCCCAGACCATCAACGTATAGCCTGGGTTGTGACGGGGTGCAACTATACACTATGATTCTGTTGGAGAAATCCCGTTGTATTTTTTATGTTCAGCAAGAGTAAAGCCTTGCAACATAATGTTACTTTGGAGTTACTGTCGTACGCAGTGCATCTTTTTAAATAGCAATAACTTCAATAAAATACTTTAGATACTTTAGCGGAAAAAAAAAATGCCGCTTTAGTGTAACCGTGTGCGAGTGATGGGAAATAATAGTAACGACATCAGAGGCATCCTACAGTGGCCAGAGGAAACCAGAGCAGTTAGCCCGGCGTTTTAGCAAGTGTGCCCTGCCTGAAGCATGGCTTCCACTATAACTGCTCTTCGAAAAGTAGGTCAGCCATTTATACAGCAACATACTCGCATTGACAAAAGAGCCGACATTCGGCATTCGCTATTCGCTATTCAACATGGATCCGGGGTGAGACAGCGGCGAGTGAAACATGGATGTTATAAGGCGACCGACATATTCACTGACGACTACTAGTCCCTTCGTTGTGGAGGGCAAACCAAACGGTGCAGAGTGGATTGAGGAAAGCGGTAGCCAACGACGACCAGCATATGGTCTGTAGCGCACGAGACGTACGGTACGTGTGTTGCCATTAGGGATTTGTTGTGAGGACGACAGAATTCATGCACACAGTAACCGTGTTTGCGTACGTTCGTATAGGGTATGTCGTTCTCGGCAACAGTAACATCGCCTGGGGCTAGTGCTGAAGAGGGAAGAAGTAGAGGGAGAAGCGTTAGAAGGGGTGTCGGAATAGAAGGAAGGATAAAATAGTAGAATCCATGGGTTTGTATGTCTGGAGTCTGCTTTAGCAACCTGACAAGCCTATCACGCATTACAAAGCACGCACCGGGCCTGTTTTAGCTGTTTCGAATTCCAAATTGATCTCCATTGTGAGATCTTCACTCAAACAGACAGAACAAATAGAGGGGCGTCAAATCTGAGTATGCAGCGACTAGCATTTCCTGACGTAACTTCGGGGGACTTACGTTCTGATATCAGTATCCATCTCCAAGGCTGGTACATACCCAGATGTTACTATCAACGCTATCATATATGGTAAGCTGATATGAAGTTTCCTCACTTGGCTCTTCTCGGATAGCTGCTCGTTGCAAGCAAAGCACACTCAGGTCGAGAGTGAAGTTCGCTAATCTTTCTCGTCACTGCGAAAAGCTGCGCGGAGATGAAACAATATTTTGCGACACTCCTTTCTCATATGAACGAAGTACTAAATAGGACATCGGTACAATATACACTGTCGAATATCATGCTAACCGTTATACTAGTACATGGTAACACAAAGGCACCTCATAGCACAGATATGGTTGCACGTGTCGAGAAACAAGTGTAGCTGCGCTTGCCCTTCTGTGAACAGTTCAGCTACGAGGTTTGATACCCGCAAACCTTTGTAAGCTCATCCCCATGTAAAGCACATGCGGAAATCTCCGATAAATGCTTTGTTGAAAGACCTTTCGTTGTCGTTATTGTTGCTTTATTGTTTATACACTGGTGATTTCGAAGGACAAACTTGCTAATGGATAAAAACAGGCGTCATTTACGCCCATAGGACAATGCCACTTACCGGCAAGCAGGAGGGACTGCTTGGCGTTTTGTTGGTGCGTGCTTTTTTCTGACAGAGGTTCACAGTCGGACGCGCTAACGTACGAGTTCGTATAAAGCATACTTGTAGTAATAGCAGCATGCAGTGGTTGAAAATCCATGGGCTAAGGATTCGAAAACAGTCGGAAGGCGGCAAGCGAACAATTCTAATTCAATAGGTCGTTGTCAGCGTCGCTACACCTTGCAGACTTTTCTCTTATTTTGCTTTCGATTCTTTTTGCATCTCTTTGTCCACATGCACGGCACAGAATGGACGCTACATCATTCTGTTCATAATATGCTAGGGCAGTGATGTTCCTTCGCCACTACCGTGACGGCTTCCCGGCTGCTGGTTCTTTCTGTCGTTATCATCTTCGTTCCCGTTTTTGTTTTCTTGGCTAATGTTAACCGTCATAATTACGATTATGGTGTCAGGCTCTATTGCACTCTAGTTTTTGTGTGGTTAGATTTGTGTTAGTAGCTTCTCCGTCTCCGTCCGTTTAAAGTGGTACGACATGCATATATCGATATATAAGAGTACGTATGTACAGTTTAACGAATGACATTAGGGTATCGGTAGCATCGGCCTACCTCTTGTCTTTTGTGCTGTCGTACTTGTAGATTATTTGGCCTATTCCCTTTAACTGTATATATTTATCAAACACGCCACTACAATTTTTGCCTGCTTTGTGCATTGCAAAATATTCTTCGTGTCTTCCGCTAGCGTGTAAGATTGAGGTAATACCTTCGGTTCATGCATTAGATAGCATGAACCTTTTTCTCAGATCGGTTGAACTAATGAAGGTGGTAGATGGCAAACAAGGACAGCCCATGGATGAATAAGCTACTCTTAAAGCACAAATCGGAGGTGTTCAACGTCGGGCCTTATTAAAAAACTGGTAGCAACTTGTGTCAACTCAGATATGCCTGGTAATTTTTGACGTAGAATCTATTCAATATTTGTGGGTTTCCAGCTGTTCTGCCTGTTCCCATTTCTTTTTTTTGATCAATAGCCAGTGCGTGAATGACTTAGTCAACCATCCAGCCGACTAGATGAACTGTTTTCTCAACGACAATACAACCGAAACAGCACAGTGGCATGAAAGGCCCGTGGGCAATGAGGGAAAATAGAACTAACTCTGCACTGTGCCACGTAGACATGCTATGGCGGTTACTACGGTACGACTGTCGGTGACACCGTTTGCTGCTGCTGCTGCTGCTGCTGCTACCGCTATCGCATTTCCCACGGCTGGCGCTGTTTCTGCAACATTTCTCAGGGAAAAGGCAGGCATCTTGTTTTCCGTATGTCTGCAGAAGAAAAAAAACTCAAAGTAACACACAGAACGGTGAGACTGGAGGCTAGCGTGCCTTCAGCTGCACAGGCCAAGATTACACGAGGAAGCGCTGCCATGTTGGTTTGCTTTCTAGCTCGGGTTTCACTTATTATTCTTATTCTGTGCAAAATGAAAGAGACAGAGAAGGAGAGAGAGAGCGCGGAATGAAGGGAAACGTTACAAGGCAAAAGTCCGCTTGCCTCGTTTTAGCTACAATAACGGGCTCTTCGGTCCAGGCCAACCAGGGTTGCCACGTTGATTCCATGTTTGCCTTATTTACCTCATCTCACAACACTCAGATGGAATGCGTGCGTCACACGTAGGCTATGCACGTAAACACCAGCAGTAGCAGTAACTACAGCAGCGACAGCCACATAAAGCCTCGGTGCTACCAGGCTTTGCCATCTACGCAAAGATATCTCCGTACAGCGAGATCTGTAGGGATCTTCATTTGATTGCTAAGTTGCACTCAGAAGCCGATGAACTGCAGGGCACTTGCGAAAAAGGAAAACAATAACGTACGTTAACAATATATGCATAACTAGGGCAATAGATGCTGTTGGAGCACTTTTTCTCTCATTTCGCGCAGTTTCACTAGTTATTTTCCTTTATGGATCTCCAAAAATTTACACAATTATATGGCGCCTTGTGTTTTGGGACATTTGAGGATTTGGTGGCTGAGGAGTCGAACCACTGCACAATTAAGGGATCTATCTTTCCATAACTATAACAAAACTATACGACGTTACATTAATAATCTTTAAATGTGACATTTAATTAAAAGGTTCTTTTTGATTAGGACCGAATTTGCAATCACCTTTGTTCTTGCCTGCGTTTAGTTACTAATCAACGAACAGTGGTCATTTTTTTTTCTAAACTGGACAATGATGTATCAGACTGTTTTCTGCTTCGTAGCATGTGCATGTAGACCTCATAGCTACTAAGGACGTAAAAAATATAGGCCTTCTGCTAATAGCCCTTATTAAAACTTTTTCCACGTAATACTGCGCCAATCTAGTAATAAGCACTGAAAGAGTTTTTAAGATGATTTCAGGAAAACCGGGTTGCTTTGTATGTGTTTTTGACAAACTTATAATGCTGATGGCTTTTGTATATGTTGTAGTGGTCCATTAAGAGGCACGCTGGGTTGCAAGGTCTCTTAACGGTAAACTTGACGGGATTAGTCTGACCACAATAGGGTCAACAGCATCTGTTCTAAAGGATTCTAATCGTGCCAGCTGTCTTATATATTATTATTACATTAAACTTTTTATTTTGATATGTAAATGTTTTCATTGTGTTTGCCCTTTACTCTTCGCTGTCGGCTACCTGTCCTCATCAAGTGCCACATCCCATCACATTTTGTCCGCATTTAAGCGCCTTTTTCTGTTTACATGTTTCTGACGTACAATTTTCTTTCTGCGTTTGCTTTGCCGCTTTGTTACAGGCTAAGGTCGACAGAAAATGCGTACGAAGTGAAGTCGCGTTTGAGTGTCTACGTATTGAGCGCTGAACCTCACGCCCAACATCGAGGACAATTTCGGCGTCCTTGAGAGACACTTTAAATATGACGCCCCGGTTATCTAGCACCATCGGCACCGCTGCCACTACCGTATTCATATGCGTTTTCGTCCTTTTCCTGCAAACGGCACGGGTGGATAGCCAACAACGTAAGTCGCGTTTCGAAGAATACCAAGAAACATTCCCTCGGCTCGGAACCTCTAAGGTTAAACATTTTCTTGAACTGCATAGATGTCGAGGCATATGTGTGTTTGTGTTCGAGTGTGTTTATAGGCGCAACCCTACCTACAAGCTGCAGCAGTGCTGTCTGCTACCAATGGGACATACGTCTGTGTACTGCGACGTGTATGTTGGGCATACCGAACGTTACTTTGGTGTATCTCTGATTGTATCGTAACCTTGGCTTCGTTAGAGAGATCCACCCACAGCTCTGTGAGCTCTTCTGTAACCTTGACATCCTGATAAAGTTGGCTCGCGAACCCGCCTGTTCATTAGCGCAGGATCGTATGGCGTCGTTCCGTGTGCGTGCATTCGTCCGCCTAGCATTATCTCCTTGTCATGATCAGTTTTAGCATTGAGAAGGCCGGGTGGCCTAGCAGACTAACCGAACTTGCAGGCCATAGGACAAGCTGCAGATATGCTGTGCTGGAGATAGCAGCAGCAGCAGGCCTGCAGATCTCCCCTTAACCTCGCATCTGTGACTCGACGTAACTAAGAGCCTGCTTTCAGAATAACTCTCTTCGCTCGATAACGTCCTAATTTACTGAATAATAATTGATTTAGTGGAAGGAAAGCTGAGAAAGAACATACTGTGTCACTTTTCAGTTAGTTTAACTAGCTAGCTAGCTAGCTGGTTAAGCCTTGTAATTATGAGTCAAGTAGCCGTTGATTGTTGTTAACGAGTTCGCAATGCTATGATATGGTCCTATACTGACAATGAGTTAAGTACCTGTGTAACATCTACCCGAAGTGGCGAGTAACGAAAGGAGAATTATAATTCGACATGTTCGCTCGGACCTCCTTCCACAAAATGCAGAATTGTACTTGTTTTCGGGATCAATTTATATTCAACTCTGCCAAGTACTACATAAAAATATTGATGATTATCAGTGGAACTGTGCTTCAGTGCTGTGCCTATACGTACACGCATACGGGGTCCTGTTGATTACACAAAAAGGGTGCTGATAGCATCACCTAACTGCCTAGGTGACTAAGGACAAATAGCTTTGAATTGCTTCGGGAAAGGCTCTACAAGTTTGGATATATAGTTTCAGTAGCTATTGTCAAAAGCTGATTGCGCTTCACCACAATTAGGATCAGCGAACGTTCCGCAAGAAGAAGATTTAGCTATTCCGAAATGTGGAGGACATACAGAGCAACGTGTAGTCACGAGCAAATTTGCTAGCCGCCCTAGAACCTGCGAAATAACTGCAACAAATAGGTGAATAGGATATAGCTGCTCGTACTACCGTTTGCGTTCAAATCCATGCGGCTGCTTAAAATCCTTAAAGTAATATTGAATTTTAAGTAAAAGGTAATGTGTTATTTACGTATCGCGCCTGATCGTAGTACATTGCCTGTCAATTGTCGAAAAATATTTCCCTACAGTGTTTTCAGTCGTTGCCGTTACTGCTGCTATTCCACACGTCGGGTTCGCTTTCGCATTTACTTCTTTGTCATGCACGTTACTTAACAACGAAATGGACCTATTAAACGCTACTAGGTTCGATCTTACTCGAAGCATGCCTACACATACGTCAATATGGGTCGACATGTTGCATGCAGCAACTGTTATAGCAGTTGTTGCAGCTGAAACATTGTTTAGCTGTTTCCGCTAGACGATCTGTCGCTACAACATATGCCTCAGTGCTACGACAGCTGCGTCAACGCATCTTTCCGTACCCAATCACTCTCAAGAAACGCTTAGCAATTATGTTGGGAATGCCGGAGTTATAAATTGCACTAGATGCAACAAGTTTCGCTATTTTTCCTCTTAGCAAAACAAGTTCAGAGAAAAAAAAAACCCGCAACATTATTTGCTCTAACCAGTTCTCTTGAGCTAACTTATCAGTCTTGACTTATGTCTCACGACTTGTTTATCAGCAAGACTGTTTGTAAAGCATTACGTCTACATAGAAGTTAGGCTTAACTTAAGGCTTTTTAAATTTTGTAGCCGTTTCCCCCGCTACCCAGCACCAATCTCCAGTCTGGTCTTCTATTCTGCCAGACCGCTCGCTTTTTCTTGAAAGTCCGAGTAAAAATAAGGGACGCGCCCAATTAATAATAACTTGCACTAGCTTTGCAAATCGCCGAAATCGGTTGATCGTGCCGAATCTGGTACTGCTGCTACCGCCGCCTCAACGATTTAATACGGCAGTGGATGATCCGATCGTTCCAATCCCTCCAAATGCGAAGAATCGGAAGGAGGCGAACCAAGATGCAAATGTGCACACCTTGGTTTCCCTTGTGGACAGCACCAACCACTGCAGATATCACCTCCCATCGACCCGCAAAAGGCTCGCTTGGCAAGGCAAGTCGTTCGTTCAGCGGCCTCTTGTTCTCGACGGCAAAGCTGCTTCAGGGGTCGACTTGAGTTTTCCTGAGGACGCCATGCTAACAATCTACACAAGTATGTATTAGCTCGCACATCATAGTTATGTATGCACAGCGTCCGCTTGCCTCATGAGGCAACGGGAACGCTTGTGTTGCCTACAGTACACTATATAGCAATGGCGGTTATACTGGGCTCAAGCGCAGCCGGCAGCAGCAACAGTAACGGCCAATGGAGGACAGGGCCTCTTGTTGGGAAGCGAAAAGAGGAGATAGCGTAGTGAAGAACATCAAATAAAAGCGGCGGGCGGACACGACGAGTAAGTCCATGAAGAGAGATCTTCCCGCGCAATGATTACTTCTCCACGCCCCGCTATTCTAAGCTGAGTAGAAACGGGAAGGGGTGCCGAAAAATAGAAGAGCTTTTGACAGAAAAAAGACGTGAAAGAAGAGGTACCCTCGAGCAGCAGCGGCAGAGTATATGTTGGAAATGGCAACAACAATTTCGATATCCCTACAATGGCTTAACCGGGAGCTGGAAAGTGGAAGTAGGTAATTTTAAAGGATTTTAAAGGCGCTACGCACAAAGAAACAGTAAGAGAACAGGAACGGCAGTGCAAAAAGTTTCTCAGTGTCTTCAAACGACGCAAAAAGGAGGTATGAGATGAGTTTAAAAAGGGGTTGTTTTAAGAAACACTTGCTGTCACTGTGGACCACGGGAGTTATGGGGATTGTGGAGGCGTATTGCACCTTCAAAGAGCAGCTGCTATGTCCTATGGTTAATAAACGAATTTCCATGTAGTGGTCCTGCCAACTTTTTTTGAGAAGCCTAAACGATAACTGGCTAGAATATAGGATTTTAATTATATAAGTAAGAATTTAGCACAACAAAAGCGTATTTCTCGCTATAGTGTACTTAACCAGAAGAAAATATTTTCTAGGGTAGCTATCAGCTTTTCCTTAGCATGACTATGCGACCATCATAGATCGAGTATATCATTTTTAAATCATTCATATGAAAGCGTTTACTTTTCTTTTTTTGCATTAGCTTATTATTTTATATACATAATTAAATGATTTTAATCTTGTTTAATTGTACTCAGTACTTGTTTAGGTAATAGAAATACCTGGATATTCTTAACCTATATTTAATTTCTGCCGAACCGCAGATGTACGACCACAACAGTTTGCTATTGAGCCAACAGCGCGTACGGCCATTGTCGGCGACACCGTGGTGCTGGCGTGCCGTGTCACCGACAAAGCCGGAGCGCTTCAATGGACTAAGGATGGCTTCGGGTTAGGCACTAACCGCAATTTGTCAGGATTCCCACGTTATCAGATGGTGGGTAGTGATGATGAAGGCGACTATTCGCTTCACATTAGCCCAGTGGCACTCGAGGATGACGCCATGTACCAGTGCCAGGTTGGGGCGTACGATGGCGTCAAGGGCATTCGGTCGCGGACGGCGCATTTCACTGTATATGGTAAGTCTTTACATTAGATTTCAATGGAAAGTTTTTCTTTTCTCTAGTTACCGAACTAGGTACTACCATTTGATTTTTGGTTGAGTCTGCTAAGAGTGCTCGCAACATTATAACTAATTAATAAAATATTGAAACGTAGTTATAGCTAACTACGTCTTCTTCAATACCTGAAGGTGAGTCACAACTAAAAGTGCATCAAATTTCTGTGCTATGGAACGTTCCCTGGAAGTCGCTTTGTGAATACATCTGTGTTAGTTTTACATCGAACTATTTTTCTCACAATTTAAATTTCTCCCAGTTCCTGCACTAAACGAAGTTTACCAGCTTCCAAAATCTGTGAAGATGACAAAACTGTGCCTGGATATATGCTTTCCTTAGCATTTTCGGCGCATGGAGTCGTTCAGTACCCTAAGATTTTAAACGACCTACTGCCAACCATAGATAAAGGAGAAAAAATTAGGGGTTTGGAGTGTGTTTTGCGTCTATGGTAATGGCTGCAGCAGTAAGAGCGACGGCTGGTTAACGCGTTATTGCTGAAAAATTGCTGTGAGCTCTTTTGCCGGCAGCCATCTAACCAATGCCGGGCGCACGCTGAACCCAAGCCCCGGCCAAGTCCTTCCTTCCCCACGTCAGTTGCTTGCGTTTAATGGAGTCTCCAAAGCCTTTGAAAAGAAAAAGTGATTTAACTGAGGACGTTCGACTTTTTTTCTTCTAGCGCCCCATTGCCAGTCACAGTTACCTGATAGCCATGTCAGCAGATAGCACCGCTCAGCATAGGAATAGACCACGTCTTGCCGCCCCCATGTAGTTGGTCCGTCACGCCCTTGCTCCTAGCCACTGCTGGCATTTCTCATTCCTTTTTTTGCTTCCTTTCTATGTCTTTCGGAATTTTTCTCCTTTTTTCACCTCCTAGCCAGTTGGCATGTGAGTCAACCAACCTTTTAACTTGGCCGCAAGAAAAAGCTAGCCGCCGTTAGTTTAGCGCGAGTTTAGCCTGATGCAGTCCTATACCCCACTATGTCGCTTTCTGTCGAACGTCGTCCCCAAGCTAAGTCGTACGTTCCCGGGCAACGAAGGCCGCAAAGGCTCGTTTGCTGCCAATCTCAAATTTTTTTGGCTCTTTCGCTGTTTTTCGCCAGACAACTCTGGCTGTCTAACTACCCAGCTGGCCTAGTCGCGACTACCTGACTGACTCCTCGAGCCAACTAGGGACATTTTTGAGAGTGAAATTCATCGCAAACAATGAATCCAATAGATAGCCCGCTGACAAGGGGAGAGATGGAGCTAGCTCGAAGTAACGAGTAGGGAGCCACTCGCAGTGTGACGACAATGACAGCGATTGTGACGGTAATAACAGCGATGTGATCAACACGTCTACCTGCTTCCTGGAAGTCGTGTTTTTTTCCATCTCTATCTTGCCTGTCAACCTATGTTACATCATAGCGCCATATGGGGCATAATTACACTAACATACCATTTCTTCTTTCATAAATTTGCAGCTCCTCCAAAACCACCGAAAATATTAAGAGGTACCGATATTACCCTCCGTGCCGGAGAAACCGTAAGCCTTACGTGCGAGTCGCTAGACGGAAAACCCGCCGCGGAGCTAGCGTGGCTTGACGGGGATAACAATGTTGTAAGCAATGGTGAGTTAGCTATAATTTACTATACAAACCAAAAATACCGATAGTAGACCAAACTAAATCAGGACAATTCGGTGGTAGAAATACAAAATGCACAATGAAATGATTGGTTGACCTTACGACCCGTTAAGAGCATATAAAGGCGAAAAATATATTGAAGGTTTTATTATGCAACCCTACAGTTCGTACTATGTTCTGCCATTAAGGTGACTACCAATAAGGTGCAAGCCAACAGCGTTTGTGTAAAAATCGGCTCCTGTCCTTGTTGGCTAGCTTTTACTATTTACACAGTAAATTTAGTTTAATTCCACTAACTCTCTATTAGAGCAACAGGTTTTTGTCTAGTTCTTGTCGGATCGTTTTCGTGTATGGTCGTTGGGGGTGCAATTTGCATGCGTCCTGTATTGCACGTATATCGACAATAATACATGGTCGCGCTGCGCAGTCTGCACCTGGAGCCTTCATATCTGTGTCTACAGTGATCGCCAATGCTTCTCGCATCCACTATAGGCAGTTGAACAATAGAATCCAATAGTGAATGCTGGTTCGCTTGATGCCGCCACTAGAGGCCCTAGCTGCTTTTCCAGGCTACTACTATGCGACGTAAGGCTTCACAATTGTGATATACTACAACCACTCGACTACTTCCGCGATCGGTTTATCCCTTCGGAATTTGTCTGTCCTCATATCCATAGGCCCCAATCGCTCGCCTCTGAGACAGTGTGCTTGTTTCCTCCTTTTCCCCTTATCGTGGCTGCAATAGCTGTAGGGCATCCCACGTTATCCGCCCAGCAATTGATTCAGCGTTCGGTCACGCCAATACTTACTACTAAACGGGTATATCGCTCACAAATATGATCAAGTGTTGCTTTGTCCGCCTCACTAAACAAGTGGAGTCTTAGCTAGCATGTACCACTGCCTTTATTATACGACCGCGTCACTTCAGCGGCGACAATGGCAATGCCTGAGCAATGGCTAGTGCTGAGCGAAACGAAGTACGACGCTCTTTCTCCACTTGCGTTCGTCATTGTCGGTCGTCATGGTTCAAACAATTAAAATAGCACCATGAGGATACTGAGGACAGTTACGCAAGCATTCAGCCTCGAGGCCTTGCTGTGCGAAAGATAAAGATCTTTTGAATCTTTGACCGAATAACTGGCGATAGAAGTAGCCACCGCGACGGCTACACCTATGATGACGACCGCGCTCTCTTGTTTCAATATTTTGTGCAGCAACATTTCACTTCTGCTGCTGCATCCTTGATAGGTAGCGTTTTCCTCATTTCTCCCTTTATCCATCTTCGTCGTTTTTCAACGTGACGCGCTCGATTTTCCCTTTCCGTTCCCTCGCTCTTGCATACTATACGAAGTGTGTGTTGTACGTGTATTCTGCGTACGCTCCGAGAATTGATTTACTGTTCTGTATGTATACCTCTCTATTGCAGGACTCGAGTACAAAAAATCGCCGTCGAAAAATAACAAACGCGAGAACGCTGAATTGACATGGACGTTCGAGGCCACCAAGGAGCTCAACGGCCAGCGGCTTACCTGTCGCGCCGAGAACCCCGCTCTCAAACAGCCTCTCATAACCGCTATCAACGTAAGGGTTCAGTGTAAGTATACAACAACAAGCACCAACGAGTCTGTGGTAGACTGACTGGATAGGCAGGTGGGTAGAGTGAGCAACAACTGTTTGGCTTTATGCTGCTGGAGGTATCTGGAGAGGAGAAAAAGAACGAAAAGCCGCAGGAAATTGTAGTAGCAATCAAAACCAAGACAGGCTAGACCGAAGTCGGATTAACACGTCGATGGCGTCTGGCATCGAGCTGAGGCTTAGCGTCGGCCTCGCCGTCATATCCCAACCGTAAATAACGGCAAAAACAGCAGCCACACGCAGCTACAACAACAATAGCGACAGTGATAATGACAACAATAACCACGCCAAGCCAATGCCAGCATTTTATATGGAGCCATTAAGGCGATGGCTCCAGCACCAGTATGGCCATATGAACACAGGTTTGTATATACAGGTGGCTGTAGGTTTACAAACGAAAACGATTGCAGTTAAAGGGAGTGGAGGAGAGACTGAGAAATGGGGAACGAGGTGAGAGAACACGAAACGACTACAAGCTTTTTGCAACGGGAGTACCGTTGATTTGTGTCTAGCCCGCTGCTAGTAAGCGGCGCAACAAAAAGCCCGTGAAGCCAAAGTATCACTTCTCACTGCCTCTCGGGAAACGTTCCGAGAGATGACGCTGTTATTGCTGGAATAGCTGGGCCGTCTTGGGTCGTAAATGAAAACTGGTTGGAGCAGGGGGTCGCTGCCAAGGAGCCAAGACCGACCAACCGACCGGCTGAGCGTCAGCCAGCCATAGATCCCCTGCGCTTTCTGCCTGTGTTACCCACCCACCACTAGTACTATCATGAGGGCAACAGCTACCTGGACGTGTACCGCGTCTTTCTGCGTCCTTCTTTGCCTTTCACACTTTCCCCGCCGCTAGCTTTGTCTCTTACGCGCCTTGCACCCGATGTATTCGATGGTGACCTCGGCTCTGATCCCAGTCCTTGCTTGTTTTGGTTATCGTTCATTCTTACCCTCACGTTTTACACGTTCTATGGTCCCGATTTTACCGTCTTCTTCGGCTGTCTCTTTTCAGATGCCCCGGAGATCACACTGACAGTGAACAAGGATGAGATTCATGAGCAAGACAGCGTCGAGTTACGTTGCAAAACGTCAGCCTTTCCAGAACCCTTGTCGATACACTGGTACCGAAACGACGAACCTATTAAAGCTGATGACGGCCAAGATGTGTTAGAGCTGACCAAGGTCTCTCGCAAAGCCAATGGTGACATGATCTCATGCGAAGTCCGTAACGCTGTCGGAGTAAATCGTTCCACAGTGGCACTCAACGTTATCTATAAGCCGCAGTTCAAGACGAGTGATAAGCCAGTGATGGCGGTTCTTGGTAAGTTGCCAGCTGAAAAGCCAATCAAGCAACTAGCAATTATTTAATAAAAGGCACCAGATGGCTACTAATAACATTCGTATTAACAAGCGAAGTAATTGAATTATCTTGTCATGATCCATGACGATAGTAGTGACAATACGCACCGTGTTTAGCCAGATGTCCGAATAACTTAGCTAATGACGGTCGAGTTGCGGTCGAGTCCTTCAGCGATCTATTACACAAAGAACAGTCGCAACAGGATGAAAGGATTCCATAGTTGAATGGTAAAAGCTAGCAGCGTGGTTACTCCACATACCTATGCTGACACGAATAGGGTACGTCTGTGATAGTATGAGGAAGGTAGGCATAGCCCGAAGTCATCTGCTTTACTTAGCAGATTGACAATACTAGCAAATGAATCGGAAGTCAATAAATACGTTGATTAGATTAGAGATATGCGTACCTGTGAGCGAGATTGATTGAAACATGTTGAAATGTTAGCATAAATATCACATTATAAATAAAAATAAAATTGGCAATAAATGAATTTGATACTCAACCTTTTCTTCGAAATCCACGTAAACCAGCGATCTTTCCGGAAGGGAAGGTGTCTAGCAACCAGTGACCTTAATAAACCTCGTGAGACCTCGTGTAAATATTCGTGTTACTTTAGCACAAAGAAATAGGTTGAAATGAAGAGCATTAGTAGCTTAGTCAGAGACGTACACTGCCGTTGAACAAATACATGTAAATCGTAGAAATGGGTATACTACGCAAGTAAATAAATACGATATTATATGTAATGTAATCGAAGGCTAGCACAGATGTTGTGAACGCAAGAGGCGTCCTTTGCGAAGCCTTTGCCAAAGTAGTCTCGTCAGCGCATGCGTCAGTACGCACAATTAGCTGCCATTTACGTGCTACTGCACGCGATAGTTTGTTTAATGCACGATATCCTCAGCAGGGAAGCTGGTACAAGGTGTGTGTCAAGTTCATGCGAGTGCCTGCATTCGAGTCAAACCTGGCTGGTTTGACTCGCAGCAGCAGTAACAGCAGCAGCATCTATTGCTGCGCTACTGGTGACGATGGTAGCAGTTGCAGTTCCAGTTGTAGGATAGAGCGGCATAGATAAAGCGCCATCGGGTCTATCATTGAAGTCTACTAGACTTCAACAGCCGAGGTTCGGGTTGATCCACATGATGGAGTTAAACAGGTGGGAATGAAAAAGGGCTACCGAGGCTTAACGGTGAGAGAAGGGGTGGCGACGGCGAATGATAAGACAGACTTTTCAATATTTCATTCACCTATTCGTCGTCCGGCTCGAGTTTCGGCAGTCTGTTTGCCGTGTACAGCATTACCAGTGCTTCCACTAGAACAGCTGACTCCGCTTGTCCGTTGCATTTACCCCTCATGCCAGCATATCTAACTAGACAGTAACGGAAGCAGCCTGCAGAAGCGCCTAGGTACCGAAACGTGGAACGAGTTATTGGTCGGTGAGTGCTTGATTAATGGCGTGCAGCCGTCGATAAGAGTGGCTTAAGGAACCTGGCAGCATGAAAGAGGATCATTTAGCTTGCCGTTCGTCTATCCACCCTATAAAACAAGAGGAAACGGCGGACCACATGGTCGTTCGTGGAAGTGCTGAGATTGTTCGTAGCCTAGTATAGCCTTTATCACCTTTCTTTCCTTCTCGGCTTCTTTTTCTTCTGACATGGCATGTATTTGTAATAACTTTTCCACTGCCATCATCGGCTTTAGGCACCGAAGTCGCGATTAGCTGCGATGTCGATAGCAACCCTAAACCGGAAGTCGTGTGGACACGCCAGGGCTCGAATGTGGTGCTAGGTAGACAACAGGTTTATGTCATACGCGAGATGACGCCAAGCGACGTCGGGACGTACACTTGCCGCGCCACAGTTCCAAAATTCCCGGTAAGTTGCTTGATTTCTCTACATGGATACGATGAATTTAAGTAACGCTATAGCAACAACTACCACCATTAGATCATGCACTTCCATCAACAAGAATAACAACAGCGTATGCCAATTCATACACATGCTTTCATGGAAAATGCATCGACTGAATCTTAAAAAAATTCTATTGTACTGCTAGTTCGCGATTCTAATGTAGTCACTATTTATTATGCATGTGCTAAATAGTCAAGGTCGGTCTGAAGCGTCGGCTGCGACTGGCTGACGGCAGGATGGAGGAGGGCCAGGGGGTTATATGAACAACAAACGGGTCTACTCGCAGCGCTCCCTATGGAACTAACGTAGTCTTCGTCGTAACTGACTGGGAGGCTAACGCAACGAAGGTGGTCGCTGGCTGGTGCTTCTTTGGACCTCGTCGACTTCTCTGAGTAAAGGAAGTGGAACTAAGGGTGAAGGCAGAAGCGGGTAAAGCAAGTGTGCGGCCGTGGCTAAGATAACGGAGGTGGTTGGAATGGGGGTGGGAGCACGCGCTCGAGGCAAAGAACAATGGACGTATTTAATAAACGCTGACGCCTAACAAGACTCAGATTGATGTACACGTGACAGACGGCCCAGCTGCCCTAGTCACCGTTCCACGGTCGCATCGCCCGCCGCTGCCCTCAGGCTTATGCAGCTCGGGGGAACTTACGAAGAAGACTGCTTGTTTGCTAGAGCTAACGCTCGCGAGGTTGGTGAGCGAAACAAAGACATGCTTTGAGAGGAGACACACAATGGGGCCACCGAGCCGAGAGGCTGCTGCCGCTGCCGTCCCGCCGAACGTTTCTATACAGCGAAACGGGAAACTAAGTAAGTGAGCATTACGAAGAGGGGGGGGGGGAATAGGGACAATGCGCAGGGCAAAACCGAGCGACCAGTTGACTAACCGACTGGGGACCAACCCTTGCAGCCCACAGCGACGAGGCCCCTTCTGCCTACTTGGCTAGAACGACAAGGTTTGCCGCTGTTCTGCCAGTTAGGCTTCGCCGTAGAAGTGTGCGGCCAATTGTTATGCGCGACACCTCGCTTAAACTTGACGTGTATCACGTGCTGTTCTATTTCGCCCCTGCCCTTCACCGGCTCTCTGCTCACTGTTTTCTGTACTCAGTTTTTATCCACGTTTGTAGCTTGTTTGCCCTTATCGCCGCCGTTGTTATTGTTGTTGTTGCTGCTGCTGCTGTTATTGTTGTCGACAATTTGCTTTGCGAACAATTGATCAGACCCATGTATGATAGGCTACCCATTTTTTGCAGGATATTACCAACGATTACCATGTGTATATTAAGGGCGCTCCGCGAATCATCTCACCGCCGTTGCAGTATGCTAGTGAGGGTGCAGAAGCACGCGTCGAGTGTCTCGTTCAGGCTGTTCCACCAGCAACTCGCGTGCAGTGGTTCAAGGACGGCGTACTCATCGACACTGACAAGATTCAGGGCTACCACATTGCTCGTGAGCCGCTTCCAAGTGGCGAGCGTAATCTGCTTGTAATCGAGCGTGCTACCGCGAGCGACTTTGGCGAATACAATTGCACCGTACAAAATACGTTTGGCGAGCATTCAGCAACAATCAGCGTCGAATGCGACCGTAGGGCAGCCACGACACTCCTCATGCTCGGCGCGACGGCAGCAGCAATCTTCATCGTACTATTTGCAGTTACGATGACCATTTGTCTCCGGAAGAAGCCCCCGCCTCAAGGTAAGCTCAATCCTTTTTTTCTCTTTACCTTACGTTCGTCAAGACTTATTGTTCATCGCTTGCTGCTAGCACTGTTGCATTAATGCTGTATCACTCGCAGCACAAGCGTGATCATTATCATCATCTACAACAGCTATAGAAACCGCGGCAGGATCTGCAACAATGATAGCTTAAATTAGGATGGTCACCACCGGAACCACTCATGCCCTATGAGAAGCTGATTATTGAAATGAATGAGTGTGTGGTATAAATTTCTGAACGGCGGGATACGGTGAGCTGGGAACAGGTCGTCTCAGAAAATCCAAAGTTAAATTAACTGCTAAGCTAGTGTACAATACTAGGAAGGAACAATCCCAACTCGTTATTTGCGGTTGTTGGCTAGCGTGTGTTGAGCTTTGCGATCTACCCGGAGGTATAGCCCTAGGCCATTAAGGTTTGAACAAACACTACATTTATGCTCACAACGCTGGTATACCTCTTGACTGCAGTAACGTAATACGGTTGCTATTCGCTGTTGTCTGGCAACGACTAAGCTATATCGATAAAGTTGGTCAGAGCCGTCGTCCAATCGAAATAGTGGGGGTATCGTACATAGAAGTTACACTAGCCTTCAAATAGTAACATTATTAGTGTGTCTTACGATACTTTGTTATTTTGTAGATTTCAAGGAAACCCCGGGTAAGCCTCTGTCAACCGGCGGGTTAGTATCGGATAAGGATAACAATTCGTCCGGTGGGGAGTCCGACATGAAGGTCGAAATCCGCACTGCGTCGTCACTGTCCAACAATGAAAACAATTCACCACAGCATACTCCGCTAACCGCTATGGATAGCTCTTGGGATAGTGGAGTTCCACCAGACGCCAGTACACTACCCCCATATAAAGCGTTCAACGACTACACATGTTCGTCCTACCAGGCACAAACGAACATACTCAGTAACAAACCTCCCGTAAGTGTATCATCATTTCATCGAATTTATGAGGCGTAGGTGCCGTCCTATCAGATATTTCAGCATCTTGTCGCCGTAAAGTATTAATTATTGATCTACAAGCCAATAGTATATTTATTATTCATTTTGCATTGCATAAATTGTTTGATCGCACGCGTTCATGTGTGTCGATGCGGGTCCTATCGTCGCACATCCTGATATAACGCTAACTAGATAATGCCAACGCTAAAAAAATGTTTCAAGTTTTACATGTAAAACTTGAAACATTTATTTAAATTCTGTCACGCACTGTTCTTCCAAGAGTAATCTGACGGTAACGTATTCTTCTGCTAATCTAAAGCACATGTAAAACATCTATGGAAACTGAGCGTGGACACGTACAACTTTTATGCATGTACGTACTTACAAGCGTACGCGGTCTCTTGTTTTATAGTTGGTCGCGGAAGATCGAGTTCTATTCTGTAGCTTTATATCATTCATTGGCCCTAGCACGCTACAATCTCTTCTGCATTACAGACGGACAAGCAATGGCCTATTTTGCCTTGAGCGTATTTGTTGTCTATTGTGTGGCGTAATCGTATGTGTTGGCAGTTAAGTTTATCTAGCGCAGGAGGGATGCTGTCATGCATGCTAGCATAATATTACGGAAGTTGCTGCAATCAATCAACATTCGTTAAATAGAATAGTGTAGGTAGTAACGCATGCATCCACGCATACATGCGCCCCACTTGGCACATCTGCAGTAAACAGGTAATTTATGAGATGAGCTATTTTTACGGCCGCATAGCCGAAACTGGCCATCTAGTTGCATTGAAAAACAATGGCACTGGATAAACTGTGGCGATAGTCGTAATTTTATAACGGCAACTTTGAAGTTGCGTGTTAAGTTCATGGCACACAAGAAATTGTCTTTATATTGTTATATTCTTTTCTGTATCTCTCCGAAACTAAATTCATAGTCACTATAAATGTACCTTCTATTTTTAGAAACCTTCTTCTGCTACCAACTATCTATTATATAACTACAGCCATATGCACAAAGGGCAAAGTGTATTTGCATATAAAAAAAAAAACAACATATATGTCCATGTGTTTCTAAATGCATGTGCTGCCATCCTACTCCAATCAGACGGAAGAGGGGCCTGAACTGCTACCTAATTAACGGAAACAATTCCGAACTGGTCGAAACAGCAAGTTTCTTATTCATCCCACGTCCTAGCGAACCATCCGGCCCTCTCCTCTTGTCCCGATAGTATTATAGTGTCTAGAATAGACGAGTGGCCTAGACTGCGCCCGCTGGTGATAACTGCTTACCTTGTTTATTTCACCTATCCCTTATCCGAACTCATCCTTTACAATCGTGAACACAGTTTTGATTGGCCGACCGAGCTACCATCCGACACGGCCTAGACCCAAGGTTTTTCTGAGCAGCAGCCTCGGTTTTACCCACCATTCTCTTTTCCGTTTTTCTTTCCGGTGGCAATTGCTTCCTCCCGTATGGAGGTTTTGTGCCTAGCTGCTGTGATGCTTTCGGAACCTAGCTCGTGCTGGCATTGATGTCAGAAGGAGATTAAGTAGGCTTTGTGCGGGCAGACCGTCGGTCTTCGATACACAATAGTGAATAGGCGACCATTGTGTCCCGTTGTGGTTGATTCCCAAATTATACTCACGTGAAAAGGTTTAAATACCAAAGGAACGAAATGGGTTTGCGTGGCATATACAAGGCGTTGTCTCATATGTCTCGATGCTATTGATGTTTTCGACGGGCTTTTGCATCATCTTTGCCCATTAAATGCTCTTTCGGCATATCGCCCTTACGCCTTCTTTCATATGCCACGAAGCGCCTTCTTTCTTCTTCTCACTCATTGTTTGTGCCCATTTGAGAGTTCTACCGTAGTCGTGCGCTTCCTCCTTTCAGTGACAACCCCAGATGTGAGTTTCTAGTCTTGTCTACTGTTTAGATATATTCTGTAACAGTTACCGGGTATCGATATATTATACTATTTGCAGGAGCCGCCTCAGCAGCAAAACAACGGAGGATATGGTGGCGGCAGTAGTGGTTGCGTTGCCAGTTCGGGCATCGGTGGGGGTGTCGGTCTCGGCATCAGCGGCAGCGGTGGACCGTGCGCCATGAGCGATTACATGACGGCGAACAGCGACTACGGTGTGATGTTGCCATTGCAGTCTTTGCCACCGTTGTCACCGCAGACGTCGCCCGTCCACACCGTCCATCCCCTAACCGTCCTTAACGGCGGTCTACGCATTTCGCCTCAGCACTTGGCGAACGTTTCACCGCATCAGCAGCACAGGCCAAATGGTCAACAACAACAACAACAACAGCAGCATCATCGTCAGCACCAGCAGCCACCTTCGTCGCAGCAATTGCCTTTAGCGCACCATTTGCCCGTGATGACCAACAACTCACTCTACGCTACGGGGGCTTTCAGTGCAGCACTCATACTACCGCAGTATCCACTGCAACCTAATCCCAATCAAGCGTAAGTACAACAATGTCGTATACAATAACGGGTTGTCGAAAAATAACGATCGCTTCTAAGCCGAAATAAGGAGCAAAATATTTTATTTCAATTAATTAAATATGCGCCACTTCGCTAGATAGTATATTGCCATTTTCTGATAATCCCACAACTGTGAGGTTCCTGTGGTTTCTGAGCAAGAAAAATTCAATAATAAGTGGTTTTTGCAACTAAGTTACGGGAGTTCTAACCGGACTGAAACTGATGATAGGATGATGCAAGCTCCAGACCAAAGGGCGTGTACTCTAAACTTTTGCCGGATAACTAGCTAGCTATCTATAATATGATCTGACGTTCTTATGGTAGAGTACGACGCTTTTTTTTTCTGTTTACTAGTTTCGGTTAATTTTTTCATGGCTTGGGTAATTCTGTTAGCTGTTAGCAGTTGACGTTCGAGTCAGTGGTTTTGCCAGGTCGCACTAATCCATAATGCATGATTTCCTTTCAACCCGTTTAAGCTTTCGTTTTCGTAGAGTTTTATAGATGGAAATACGATCGGGTAAATTCACTTGCATCGATTCGTCTCTTTTTAGAAAACCAGCTTTGCTGAATTAATTTTTTGGGCGTCCATATTGGCATCATGGCGGTATTGTGGGTGCGCACGCGTCGCTCTCGTTCAATTTTCGTAATAACTTCCGAGTATTTTTTTGTTCTCAACTGGTCACAATTTTATCAATTTAATAAGGACGATAAGATAAATTTAATAAGGACACGATAAGGACTATTTTTTTAGTCGAAATTTCCAAAATGAAGCATCTTTAGGCCATTTCTTTAAATGGCGCATTTTAAGCACGAAATTTCAGCACACACTTCTTCACAAACTTTCGAACAAATTTCGCTCGTCTTCACAGCACATTATCTCTTAAGTTTATTACTACGACGTCAGCTTTCAAATGCCAACCCGACATTACTCATATGATCTGAGATATGTAACTATCTAGCTAAAAAAAAACGGTCCTATAGGCTACATAGCCAGTGTATGCAATATCGCATAAATCATCGGTTTATCGATGTTAGCGTTTGTACAGATGATTTGATTGATGATGGATGAACGACGACGACGACGACGACAATATAATGTGGACACATTAGATACGGCGATAAGACATGAAACAGTATTATTTTCACTATTTTATCCTGTACTGCTGTCCTTTAGCTGTAAAACAATCTTCAATTTAAGTAGGGCTATATATGCGTAAGAAGTTCTCGATGGATCAAAGAAAAATGTCTGTATACAACGTTTGTAGGAACTGCTGTCCGCAGACGGCAGTTCAAAGACACTGTCATTTTTTCTCAAAATCTGTCTCCAATAATTTTCGACGACAAAACCTGGGCGTATTCAGTACACGCCACGGCTTCCGTAAGTAGTTTAAAGACTACTTACGGAAGCCGTCGGAAACGGCCAGTCGTTGCCGACTTGCTAGCAACTTAACTGACATTTGTTTGTGCGCAAAGCTAGGACGTAGCCGACGCGACTCGTTCGATTGGTAGCTTCCAGTATTTTTGTAGCTTCCAGATTGTTTTCACCATAAAATCCTCTACGCGTTGAAGAGACCGAGGCACGTAAACATAACGTGATTATATCAGGAACATTCAGCTGTTTACGATAAGTTGGACGTGTTCAACTTTGGGTCCTGACTTTTGACTTACGGACCGGCAGACACTCAAGAAAATGAATTGTTTTGCAATTGAAACACACGTTGAGTAATACCGAATGGAGGAACCAAACCATTCGTAGATCTATTGGATATTCGACAGTTAGACCGATAATTGCTGCTTCAAACTCCCTCATGGGACATACGCTTCCCGTGAGCTTCGAACTCTAGGGTTTACGCTAATGAAACTAAGTACGTTGTTAGCGAATCACGTTTTGTACAAGTAATTACTTGACTGCCGCAGATTTTGAACTCGGATTAGTTAATAGTTAAGTAATTATCGGATCAATTTTAAGTTAGGCTACTTTCAATATATGTACTGTGCTCTAGCTGCACCTTTCTTCGATAAAAGCGGCCACACAACAAGTACGTGCTGGAATAAGGAAAAACAACTCAGGGTGCGTATTTATCATCAAGGCTGAAAGACCAGGAAGTCCAGAACACTTTATCTTTTATACCTAACAATACAAAAACGTCAGTAACTGCTATGACCATACTGCAGTGCTCGACGCCATTTGCATCGTCTGCGGTTTGGTAGACCAACGGTCAGGCCAGCGGTTGCCAGACAGAGACGTAAATCCAAGTGACCTCGACAGGAGGTGTCAGTGCTAAAATCATCCATTCTTCGCGCTTCTCTCTCTCTGTGTATTTCTTGCTATACGTTCTTCAGAGGTCTGTCCGAAACGGAAAGAGATCTAGAGAACAGAAATAAGAACACTTATCATGACTGAATGCCAAACGCCAACCGACGGACCACAGAGAGCAGATCGACGGACCGGCAATACGAGTACCGGAAAAGAAAAACGCGTCTCGTAACCGGGCCGCAGCGAGGTCCATGTTCATCAGGGTTTTACCGAACTCGATGGAGCGCCTGTGGTTGTAGGCGCGGGAAGGGTGGTTGGAACGAAGTGAGCGCCAATATTGATACCGTTGAGCCACAAAGAGAAGTAACTCAGACGACGACTGCACTTCAAATGGCAAGTACAGCTACCGACAGGCGAAAGCCAAGTTTCGGCGAGGGCAACAGCGCAGTCGCAGGAAAGGGTAAAGAGCCAGGGAATGTAAGGAAATACTAATCTGCCGGTGGAGGCCACGTTTCTCAACGAGAGGTGGGCAACGTTAAGCCTGGCCGTCGCGATGATGATTTGCGCAGTTGCGTTTCCGAATGGGATAGTCGTCGACGTTCGGCGATAGACGAACTACCTGCTGACTATCTCGCACCCGCTTTCTCCTCTTACCCTCGACATCCCGTACTGCTCGTCCTTCCCATAGATTGTAACAGATTGTTCCGGATAGGCCATTAGGTAGGTAGCTTCACCACCTCTCGCAGCCTGCTAGTTTTTTTGCCTACGACAAGCTTTCCAGCGGCGGGCAGCCGAACGAACAGAAGCTTTTATATATAGAGTACGAAAAAGGAAAAGCTACAGAAGTGGAGGTATGGCGATAGGAAACATTGACATACGGTATGGAGGCATACGGTAGATCCATAGAACCACACGACCTTAGGCTCTATAACCGGCGCCCCTCTGACAGACGCACATGCCCAGTTAAAGAGAATTTTCTACTAACAAATGCATATTCGGACGACGTTATACTTTTTCTATTCAAATTGTCTGTACGCTGCAGGGTAGCTAAGCGTAAAAGACTGTCCTTGATAAGTTAAACGAATTAGCGAATACTCATTGAGGTCGAGTGTTAAATATGTGTCCTATGAAAATTAGGGCGATGACATCCTTTAATTACCGCCTCCCTCATATATAAATATATAGGTTTTTTCTTTGAAGTACCCACTATTAGTATTCTTCTATACAGCAAGGGCATGTGTGTGACTGGAACCTGAAATTTGCCCTTTTATAATATAGCGTTGCCACAAGGCCAATTGTCTAAACATATGCAATGCGATTTGAGAAATCGGAACTCAGGAATATTGTATGTAACCAACATAGATTTGTTACAAAGTACGCGCTGATCCTATAATCTAACACAGCCGACTCGCAATGAGCAGAGCCGACTCTGATCCTTCTGACATGACTGCAAAACTCAAAACTGGAATTATAGTGCATTCTTCTCCAAGTTATATGGATTGTGCATGTACCGCAAATATGCAGCAAATAGCTATACAACTATGTTGAAACGAGCTGTCAAGCAACGACAACTTTTAACTTGTGATACATGCAAAATAATTCAGCTTCATTGTCATCGCACTCATTATTTCGAGTTTATCTTCGATTTCTCGTTATTGGTGAAATTTCTAGCTGAATTTCCGTTTCTCTTTTCGTTTCACACTCCATAGCGCGCCTTTAACTTAGCTTTCTAGCTAACTAGCAGGCATATATATACCTGAAATGATATCGATTTGTTTATCTTTATCTTGCAACTGTGTTAGCCTGTCTTGAGCAAAGTTTTTAGCAAAGATAATCAGGATACCGTGGTGGCGCTACTTGTCTGCGATCCTCAGGTTCTAAGTTGGACGCAGGATCTGTTTCCTGCTGGCAGTGCTGTGGAAGAAACGGGCTTCAGCAGCCCACATCACACGCTCTGCTTACGTCTGATACCACTAACCAGATTTGCTGGTTTCAATGAATGGTCTGGGAGTGACGTCAGATGGTCAAGCAACGGCTCAGCGTAGCTATCGATCAAGCAGACAAGGGTCCGGCGCCTCAAATTTACATGCCCTTTCGATATGCGATCGTGGGAAGGACAAAAGCAATAGGAATAGCAGCAACGGTGTCGATGTCGGCACAGATTAGAGATGATCCATCATAGTTGTTGTTGTTGTTATCAACAGAATGTCCGACGGCTTCGAAGTCTGGATTGAGCTCTGTGATAACATTTAGCTACATTTAGGCTCATATTGTCCAGTTTCGCACCCTTGCTGAAATGTTTGGCAAATCAAATCAAGCGCTATGACTTGTCATCCTCCATCAGTCCCCTCTCCTGTTCGCGATTATGGTGGGTTAAACAATATTTGTAGGGTATGAGCAAGATAGCTTGTATTAGAGTGCGTAGCACGTGCGACTCAGCAGCAACACAAGTAAAAGCTGGCACCCCCAGTGATCTATTTGTAGGAGAACGCGAAACGCAATAGTAGGTACAATGGCAGCTCCTTTTCTCCTGTTTTTTTGGTGACGAAGCGGCCACTCGTCCGCTGGTGATCTGTTGATTCCAACTGGTATTGCTAGCTACACCATCCAAAACATCTACTCAAATTAGCCTGATGCTTTTTGACTATCTTAGCTAACTAAGTTAGTAATCAATAATCACCGCTTTGTCGTAACGGCTAACTATAGACTTTTAAGGCTATTTTATTAAGTTCAAGTTGCATTTTTGAATTGGTATCTTGTGCATCACGTACTGCGACCTTTGCGTTTTGCCATTTTAACACGCATTCGCCGATCTTAGGATGGCTTATCGAAAATTTAATCATGACCCTTGTTTGAAGCCTACATCTGTATTTCCTTCAAGCAAACAGATGACCGCACATCCATTGTTGACGATGAGAATTATTTTGATGAACAGTTTCGACGTTATGGTGGTAAGTAATTATATGGCGAGACATAGCTGTAAGTCCAATTTTATTCCAAGTTTATTCCACCAATTTGTGTGCTGACTGGCGTCATTGCCGTTTTGGAAGCCACCAACGATAGTAAGCATATAGACGAGATACCAACGGCAGATCCCGTCGACGAAATAAACTGGTTCCGTGACACCTATGTGTGAACTGTAGCAACGAAAAAAAAACGCAGCACTATCACAAACAGATTTAGCGACCTTTTCTACTCGCACTTATAGCTGCTCTTAATAATAACGGTCTTAATAAACATACGGTCATTTGAGGCTATATAGTTCTTGTACACCTGGCTTTCGTATGGACATCGTTCCCTGCCGGCACTAGAGGGCAGGTCCCAGACTAGTATAAGAAAGATATTCGCTGTCTTTACGCGACATATGCCGTCGCCGCGTGAATCGCTCACCGCAAAGCAAAACTAACAACGTTACCAGCTTAGTCATTGACGACTGGCACGTAGGAAACGCTATCATACAAAGTCGTCATAGCTGTAGAGCCGCCATTGCATGTATCGGTCGTATTTGGTGACATGGCTTAGTGGGCACTAATCAACCACTGTCGGTCTGATTGGATCGTGGCATAGGCATTCCTGTATCTTGATTTGAAGATTGTAATCTTTATTTACCAGCACACACATAAACATGCATGCGCACGCGCACGCGCACGCGTACGCACACATACACCGTCTCGCTGACTAAACTCACTAAAACATACAGACGCCTACATAAAGACATTGGACTGAATGCGGCAGCTAACAGATTCACCGCTGTCTCATTCTAATTAGATTAGAAAGCATTAAAATCAATTCCAACGAGGCTTGCCTCGCTGTCTAGTTAGGATTGCATGCATTATATGTTGGTAGCTACTGAGCAGGACTACTGGCAGCGACCACGACAGTGAGTGAAAGAAGAAGGAAACAAAGGAAACTGAACAATGACCTCGATGCCTCAGTCGTGGTATGCTTTCCGTATCTGTTCGAGTATTCGGTTGGTAAGTTGAACTAAGGTCAAGGCGGCGTTACGCCTTCCGTACGGTGCGTTAGATAAATCGCACGCTTACTATCTCCGAGATTCGCATTCGGCGAAAGGTGGAAGGAGCTCCGCTATCGCCGCCTTAAAGTATCCCATCCGTTCTAGCGTACGTTTCTACTTGAGACGGCTGTCGTTACACGCAACGTCGTCTTTTACAGAGTTGTCGAAGTAAGTATTCGTATTATCGCTCTAATTCGTGCTACCACCGTTAGCTGAATCCTTTGCATCTCGTTATACTGAAAATCGATCACAATCGATCTTTGTCTACATATAGAAAGAATAGCAGGTTGTCCATACCTGTCTTTCTCTATATCTCTTCTCAATGCATATACACTTTACGTCAGATCGACACCGCTACGCGTTGTTATAGGTCAAACAATAGAAGAGTGCGGAGTAAGGTTTGACTGAACAAGAATAGACCGGGTATTCGTTGGCGTAAACTTGCAATCCGCTTTACGATACCAATATTAAATCATCTAGACACTATGTATGCCAGTTAGAAAACTAGAAACCGTACGGCCTAGCAAGCCAGATTGCGGCATCTGCAACTGGTGTCATGACAATTGAACTCGCATTGCGGTGTACGCCTTTTGCATACGGAATAAACAAAAAAGGACCAAAAAATAACTTGACGTAGTGTGCGTAATGAGGTCAAGGCGAAACACATGAATGAGGAACAGCTACGATCCAGAACAGGTCCTAAGGGGTGCACGCGTGTATTCCTAACAATTCAAAATATACTGGTATAGAGTATACACACGCGCAACCAGTAGAAAAACTGGAAAACGCTTGATGAACATCTGTTTTAAGATTGCTGTCAAAATTCTGTCGTTTAAACGGCATGAAGCACAGGTTTTATTAACATGTAATAATGTACTCTGTAACTAAGCACTGAATTATTTTCGTGAGATGGAAGTTTTGCTGAATGTTGAAGAAGGTGTGCTATTATTTTGTGCTTAGGCCGTTATGAGTATAGTTAATGCAATCAACGAAAACCAAACAGTGAATTTGAACAATAATTTTGTGCATGAGAAATAGCAGACGTAAACAAATTTAACAGAATGAAAGATAGATACTTGCGAAAACTCAAAGGCTCAAACGGCAATCAATCAGGGTATTGAAAAGACAGTGAAAGCCCAAGAACAAACGTTTAAACGTAAAGGATGCTACAAAGTCCTTTTATTATGCTAATAGGCACTTCAATCTACAGAACTGTTTTCTCCGATTGCTTATTGTGAGAAGCAATCGGATTGCCTGAAAAGCCCAACGTAGTGCTCGTACTATAGCAGTTCTTGGAAAATGTTCACATTCAACCTAAAACCAGTAGCGTTTTCATCGCCCCACCTCAACTAAATTATATAGGTTTCTCAAAGCCTGGACATTTGGCAAACCACATAAACTCAACAACAGGTATAGCTTAACACGAAACCGCTTTCCGAGTTTGCTAAGCTAGTAGGTGTCTTACTGGAGCACCTCATATAATGATATTTATTTGCTCGTTTTTAGCGTTGGTGTCCGTCGGAAGCGCGAAGAGGCGATCACATTTATATACATCTTCATATAAAACGAAGAGTTCAAAAGACGGGTGTATCGTAGTCAGGTGAACCGAAAGTCCTGAACGCATATGGTCATAAGTAACGCTTTTACCTGGCACACTACCTGCCAGTCGGGTGAATTTTCGCGCGATTTACCAGATTGTAACACTTCTCTTTAATTCGAGGAACCTTGTGTTATATCATTTTGTTTTTTTTTCTATTGAGATTGGGCTGCGTTTGCTCCCGGTGAATAAATTTAAACATGTGAGGAAGTATCTGTTCCAAAAATCAATGTCACGGGTGTACGCCGAATGTTTGGCATATGCTGAAGATCATGTCATGCCTTTCATTTAGCTCTTGTTGAAAACTTTCTAATCAGGTTCACCTTTTGTTCCTCTCTTAAAAACTCCCTGGGTAATACATTTTCATGTGTATTACGTTTGTAGCCACGTCTTCTCAGCCATCCATGTTACTCTAAATAGAGATTTGGCCGTAAACTTGCCATATATATATACCACCTAGACCAAGCACAACAGTAATGTCACAATTGAGGATATCATACTTATACGATGGACCATGCCAGCTGTTATAAAGTAAAAACACGTAAATAACTGTGTTTACATTGCCGTTCGTCTACGTATATATCCTTTGATAGATCACCACTGTATTGTCGTCACCGTACTACGTTTGCCGAAAGAACGATGACCCACCTCTCTAGTAGATTCCTCTCTAGCCTTCTGAAGCTGACATAATTATGTTGCAGAATGCGCGCGTATAATAAAGGCTTGAAATTGCAAATACAGGAAACCATTGATGGGGCGCGATAAAATAGACTATATTGCTATTACGTAGGAAGACGGGATTAATACCAAACTGAAAAAGGGAAAACCTTACGCGCCTACATAATTAGTCAGGAACATTGTGCACCAAGATATACAATAATAACAATAAATACGGTTGAATAGATATCAGGAACTGTGTTTGTATGGCAAGTGTCAACGCATCGCCATTCATATGCTGTGTGCTATTTTTTCTAACCTCGTTCTGTCGTACTTTTGCGTGTGTGTCTCTGTGTTTCCGTACGTTTGTGCATGTCCGCGTGCGGATGTGTCACGTCAACGATTATGTCCCTACTCTGCCTGGCTCGTTGGCGGTGGTTGATGGGACGGTTACACGGTCGGCCTCCGGCCTGGCTGACTTGCCCCTGCTTCCTGATCCACATTTGTCCGCGGAATTTTTCTGTCTACTTGGATTTTATGCGTTTTCCGTCTCCATCATCGATCGCCTTCTTGGATACGGTTGTCGTGCTCTGCTACTGGCGAAAAAATGCCGAAACGTCCACGAAACTATCATCGCCACCACTGTACATTCATCGTACATGCTAGCAGGTCTCTATCGTTGAGCGAGTGCGGGAGTCTGCCGCGGCCGTGCAGTCAGTTGCGAATGGCCACCGCCCATGCAGGCAACCCAGCGACGCCAGCCACAGCGTACATCTCATCGACTCTGCCGTACAACCGTGTTGGAAAGGGTAGCCAACAGCAGCATCCACCTCCCTCTCAACAACTGCAGCAACTACAACAGGCTGAGGGGCAGCAATCCAATCCTTCGCTAAGTCCAGTCGCACAAAGAAGGTACAGCTGCGACAACCGGGACAAAACACACGCACACTAATAATAACACTTAAGTACAACAGCTAGTATATTTGAGATAAAGGCAGCAGTACCCAAGCCCAGAGAGAAATCCGCAGAGACCATATGACATATAGCTGCGCAGGCACGTGAAAAAAGATACGAACATTAATAACAGCGAATCGAAAATTAGAGAAAGAAAAGACCGGTTCACGTAACTTTTATTTCAAGGTCAGCTACCACTTTAGCCGCTAAGTGAGTACGCCGGTCGCGGGTTTCACAAACTGCACTTATATTTAAGGCACGCAAGAATGTACGTAAGAATCAACATGGCGATAGACAACTGCAGCCAGCAGCAACTGGAGAAAGACTCTTCACGTTCAGAGCCGCGATTGTAAGACTTACTTAGATATCATGCAACCATGCAGAATAGGCAGGCAGGCAGGCATACGGCTCTGACAATGTCATTTAATACGTAAAACCAAAAAGGGCCAGCTGGTAGCTTTGCAGGCTATTTCTGAGTAATTTTTTTCCTTTCAAATTGATACATGAATCAATATTAGAACGTGTTCGGGTTTTAGATTGATTCTGATCTTTCGTTAGCGGAAAACGTCGAGCGTTTACGTATTTTCCAAGCGTTAGTGTACCGCCGTTTGGTATGCGAGCCTTCCTGAAGTTCCAAGATCATCCAAAATGTGGTTTGCTTGATCCATCGTATCATTGTCAAAACACTCCAAAATTGAGAATTCGCTTTTATGTTGCATATAAAAGATACTGATTAAGCGAGTCATACAAAATACATGGTAAAAACTCATTAATTTCTCCTTTTCGTGGTCCCTTGGAAACAGTTCGTTGGTAAGCAAGTGGTTTTTCTCAGCGTTTTAGCGCATGCAAGCCGTCACGGACAGGGGCCTTCCACTTTTATTTTAGCGGTAGAATTTCACGACATAGCGTTGATAGCTTTACCATCTGTGGTTGTGGGAGAACTGTACACTGAAAATGTCACCAACCAAGTGCCAACCTACACCGCCTAGAAGCTATGGCCGGTCCTTTCAAACGAGAAATCGCCAACGACGTAATATAAAGAGACAAAGGATTCCCTGCTAAGGTCGGCCTACTATGATCTATTGTAATGTGAAGAGTAATAAATATTTTGCTCTACTGAGTAGTACGATCCGTCACGAAAATTGAATCCGTCGATGACAGTTATCATTCAAAATCTACACACGTGTTCATTTGGCGGATGTCTCTATAGATATGCATAATGGCCGAACTGTTATTAAGAAGCAAGTACTAACTAATCTTCCTAGTCCAATGATGAGAAAATTTATTTTATTAATTAGACATATTGTAAAATGTGAAAATACCAATGCATCATTTCTAAATTAACCGCTTTGAGTGGTCGAGGTGTCGCATACGTTACAGGCAAATTGATGATTGCTAATCTTCTATAGATGATACGTGCTAGAGAAACAGCTCTGCAAACAGACGTTGTAGCAAATGTTATTACACATGATTATTATTAGAAAAAAAAATTATTTTGTTATTATTATAATATTATAAAATAACCTTTGATGTAGCACTTTCGGCAGCACTAATGGAGGAGACAAGAATACTTCTAAGCCATGTCTCCTGGAGCGTTCAAAACTGACTTGGCGACTTCTGCCTTCGACGGGTCTCTCACTGAAGAGCAAGAAGCTTAGTAAGAAGGAAGGCCAATGTGGTATCCGCTATAGCTAGAGAAATAACGTTGTCTGAAGAAAGAAAGAAAAATGTCTAAAGGGAAAATAGACCATTGTGGAAAGAAAGGACGTTGGTCATGGCCATATTGTAGTTTGCTTCATTCCACAGAGTTACCAATGAAAAACTAGCGGCACTAATCTAACTCTTGTTAGCTACTAGGTGGAGTAGCTTGAACATATATCCGTTCCTCCACTTATACCGATAGCGAAACATATATTATAAGGAGCGACTGGGCCCTTGGGTTTATTCGCTTCGAGATAAGAGGGGTATCGTCCACGTCTCGAAAAATTTCCTATCGCCGTTATGGGTTAGGCAATTTCGACAAGTGTTACCATGTACGGGTCGAAACATGTTTCGACTCGCAATCTAATGTGATTTTTTCGCTAGTAGTAAAAGTATTATATTAGTAATTTGTAGTGGTGGTTTGGATGGTTAAATCTTTTGTTTACTAACAAAAGATTTAACCATCTAACTAACAAAAAAAAAGGTCGCTGCTTCAAGCACTGCCATCGACAGTTACTACATAACATTTGTGATTAAAATTAAAAAAGTACGATCAAGCATGTGTTGAATGTGTATAACAATGTGTTATCACTATAAGTAAAAGGAAATCAGGCCAACATTTCTGAAACTGCACACTGGGAGTGCTACCTATGTAGCAATCGTGCTCGAACAATTCGTGAACAATTATGCTCGAAAGCACCAAGGAACAAGAATTGTCCTTATTTTTGAATCACTGGTAGCCAGGGAATGAAGTAAATTTGAAATGCTGCACATATTAGAGTAGTCTGATTGATTCGCTTGGTCCTTGAAAACATGAGCGTGGTGCTTGTCTCGGTGGTAGATCATACTAACATCCGCAGCAGGTCTCCAAGCCTTTAGTGTAAAAATTAATGTAGGTAAGGGAAGTCGGCAAAATAGTTACTATACCATTAACTGAATAAGCTAATACTTGCCACACAATGTTACAAAGTATTGGCAAAATTTGAAGTGACATCGCGCGCGGGTGGGATGGAGTAGGCGGTAGCGATGGGAATTTAGGGGCAGAAAAGCAAATTAAATTTGCTACGCGTAAATATTATTCCAAAATGGCGTACAATTATGCTTTGCTGAAGCTTAACCACAATCGTGCAGCTCTGTATCGGGCAGTCTTTGTAAGAGGAGCACTGCTGTGCCGATTAGAATCGTTTTACTTTTTGTCTTCTAACTAGATTGTGCTTACGAGAACCCATAAAGTAATATAATTTTCTGCATCAATAATGCTCGAAGCCTAGCAATCCTTTGTTGTTGATATGATCATTACCTTTTTTCCATTCTGCATGTTAAATTTTGTCATGCACGCGTATCGTATGTCCAGACAATCTAGTTATATCCAACTAACTAACCGTAAGTTTTAGGGTTAGTACACTGGATGGATAGATAGCTGTCAAAAGCTCCAAACGCTAAAAAAAAACGACCAAATTACATTTCGCACGATGTTATACTATTATGAATCTATATTTATGCCTTCAACAAGGTTATCAGATGTTAAATGCTAAGGACCACTAAGTAATTTAGGCTGACAGTAGAATGTGATAGCACTACAATAGCTCTTGTTGAAATTTCGCCCCGCATGCAAAAAGCAGATTAAAAGTACGGGGGTCTAAACGGATTTATCTTTTCAAAGTCAACTAAAGCCTAAGCCGCACGGCGATGGAGGACTGCGGAAAAGCAAACCAACTTGCCCAACTTCACATAGAGTGAGAGAGGAAGAGCGCGCTAAGGAAAAAGCGAAAACATCTGGTTATTTATTACTCTGTGGAGCATGTCGAGCCAAAAAGCAGAAATGAAGGTGAAGATGGGGAAAAGGACCAAGAGCGCCGTCTCGACTCTATCGGTATTGCAAAACATCATTTTGCAGATTACAAAACCTACTTTGCCATCATCTTGCATCACCTGTACACCGTTTCCCAACGTTTCCCGGTAAATTCCGGTGCACTTGACTGCCTTAGCGAGGCAGCTACTTGTTCCGCGTTCCGATTTCCTGTAGCAAATTAGGTCGAAATGTGGTGCATTCCAGGTTGGTTCATTGGCCATCCTACTAGGCCGTCGACAGGCTATCCAGTTCGAAGTTTCATAAATCGTTGAGGAACTGAACAAACTATAATTTAAATGTGGAGGACGGTTTGAGTATCATTCACAGCGAGAGCGTTAAATCGTTTAGTCCAAGTCGAGCTTCTGCGACTTCTCATAACTTGTGCTTATATGGAACCGCTAACAGAGTTCCATGAAATGATCCTTCCGACAGATACATATTGTACCATAAAAATATGTAACGTTTCTTTAGAGTTTACACTGTATCTTGCGCTATTACTCGAATGTTGCAATAAAATAATTTTAACATTTGAGTTAGCATAACAGGGCATGTTCAAATGGTGAAGGTAACGCCGAGATTTATATATATATATATATATATATATTAAGATGAAAAATTTCTCAACGGGAGATAACGGGAGCTGGGAGCTCCCCCGTTAATTTGACAAGTAATATCGGTATAGCTGGGACATTATATGAAAAAAATTACGTTAGCAAAACATAGAGTGACAGTGAATAAAGCTATCTGCCGTTTATCTAGTAGTTTACTATTCAATTAACGATTGTGTTAGATAATTTGCACGATTAGATAAGGTGCACTTAGGTACATGTTTTGCCAGCGTAGTCTCTGTTACCTAGTTAGCAAGAACGATAATGACATATAGGCATCCTTCTCGAAGGATAACAACGACTTCAATGTTAGTTTTGACGGAACAACTCCCAGACATACGTTCGTACCAAATGTATTTGCATTGAATCAATATGAGTATAGCTGATTGCATATTTGAGTAGAATGAACTCATCTCAGTAGATTGGACCAGCTGGTCTTTGAAAATGGGTTAGCATTCTGCCGCATCCGTTCACAAATATTAGTATACTTCGGAACCTCTATTGAACCAACCATGATATTAATTGCTCTATCGTTTTCAGAGCATCTTTGTCCCTTCGCAGCGTATACTTCTTGACTAACCAGTAGTCATATTTTTGTTGTTGCAGGTATATAACAGCAACGGCCGGAGGCCGCGGCAGCGTAGGATCCCAGTTCAAGTCTGCGCAACTCGCTACGCATGTATGATAGTACATTGTCCTCTGAGCGGGATAGTTACGTTGCATAAACGTCCCCCGATCGAACACCCCGGACACCATTCGTTATGGTTGTCTCTTTTAGGCGGGAGCACTCGCCAGAGGTTAGACATAAAATGAAGGAAATAATCGACGAGAAACTATGAGTGAGCGGTCATACGATAAAGAATGTTTTCTCATACACACCTCCTTTGCTGAAAAAAAAAGATGTGAGTGCGTAAGGGAACATTCACGTCAAAGATGGTCAGGTCCTCCATGTTGCTAGCAATGTGTGGGTTAGATGTTCGACGTCAAGTGGGATTTTCTCGATGTGGAAGATTGATAAAAGACAGACCGAGCTGCCGAGCTCATGCTTCGAATCATGCTGCTGGTACGCTAACCTTATATAGCTGATGCGTCATTGCAAAAAGCGGTTTGACGCCTTCAGATGGATTCTTGGGTTATTGAATGTTCGTTCGTTCGTTCACCTACGACTACATTACACTTTTCCAACAAGCACCCGTTATTATACCCGCCCATAGCCGTGTTGCCAGTCATTGGGTAATAACTGTATTTATATCCGGCCGACTCAATTGTCTGTATTACGTTTAACTTACGGTTGGCCTTCAGTCTTTTATGCGGTTGCCTTTTCGCCTGTCGTAAAGTATCACGCTTCGTCACGTGCGTAGTGTGTGATTTTTTCGTTGCATTTGTTGTTCAACTAACGGAATCTCGGCGGATAAAAAAATAATTATCTGAGTTTCCCTGTTTTGCTCTTGCTTCTGCTGTGTCAGCAGTCGCATTTCTTGTCAATCCCTTTTATAAAGAAGTGCAATAAATTAGCAGTCGATAGAAAAAAGAGTAAGCAGGTAATCTACGTAGTGATAAGCCACTGTTTGAGGACACGTACAGTGTTTCTATGGGAAGTAACATAACGGTTGGGCGGCAGTAGCAGCAGGGAAAGCAACACCGGCAGAGCAAGTTTTGAGTAATTGTACATCATTTGTGGTTGCGCGAGGAATGGAAGCTAGAAATTGAAGCTTGTATGGCTTTGGGAAATCAAACGAAATCGAATTATAGCGAGCGAGAAGACTCGTACGTAACGGCGGGTCTTCGAAACTATCAGCATCATTAAAGGAAATAAAAATAAAGATGACCGAAGACAGCATAGTGCTTGACGAAGCTAATGCTGGGTCGACACTTGTGGTCATCTAGTGCTATGACAAAGTTTGGGCTCAGGAGTGACAAACACAAACATGAAACGGCAAGGTAAAGGAGGCACTAAACAGGCGATCAACAGCGCGAAGATAACCATGCCAGATGTGCGGGCTTACACGTAGCGGAGAAAAGATGAAAAACACACGTGAGGGTGCGTTATCCCATGAGTATCTATTGGTCGGAGGAACATAAAACAGCAATTTTGTGTGAAGTCTGTGATTTTAAGAGTGCAATTTCGTATCAATTGAAAAGACGAGAGATATAGAGATAACGCTCATACGAGAAAGACTGAGGGAAAGTTGTTCGAACGGATGTGTGCAAGTTCGGCGAAGAGCAAAACGCGATCGATATTTAGATAAACAAAGATGGAACGAAGGCCAAAATGTGTGGAACCGGACGATAAAGAAAACCGAATGGCGCGGACCAGTGGAACACCTAAACTGACAAATGCGACCGTTGGCGTAATGTTAATGATGATGACTATTATAAATATTACTACATGTTAAGAGACCAGAATAATTTGTCAAAATTGATATAGCACTTCCCGGTGGTTTATGTTTCTATTTTAACGAACATTAACATCAAAGACCGATTCGGCCGAAAGTGCATTGCTCACCTGCCTATCCGAGTATTGTTTGTACACATATAAAATGTGGTAAGAACGGCGAGATTTTTTTGAATTACAATTTTTCATGAATGACTGAATAGCTTAAATTGATTACTTTAATTTAGCGATCAAAGCAAACTTAGCTGAAAGGTGCTATAATATGTAAGTTATTGCAATGTAACACCAACACGATTACAAATTCAGCGAACCAAATTTAATAGATTGCATTTTAAACTTGTGGGTAAATATGTGATTGTATCACCTCTCATCGAAGTAGAGTATATTACCAATACAAGTTTATATCTCTAATTTCGGTGGATTTTCATCGTCCCACAAAATGCTTAAGTCTCAAACTTCTTACGTCAATAACTATTCTTAACCAGAGAAGAGGTACTTCACGATGGAGGTTTTTGTATATTTTCTCCGACCCCGCCTCCGCTTCGTGCAACCACGCCATACCATCCATCTAATTGAAATTATCATAAAAATAATATGATGTTTTTGTAATATACGTGTAAATACGAAACTAAATAAAACGCAATGGATGGAGAAGTTGACTCCGGATGAGTAATTTAAACGCCACAAACAACGCAACTAGACGAAGAGTGAACGAAGTATGAGAGGAGACTGACCTGATGCTAACATGAAGAGCTACTTTGATTCATAATGGGAAATCGATAAACAGACACGAAAAAATACTGTACATATTTTAAGTTGAAAATAAAACTCCAGTCGCTTTTACAGTAAAAAAAAAAAAAAGAAATGAAAAACATATATGCGTGCTTTTAATCCATCATGCATGTTTCTATGTTATATTGAGTTTAAGCAAGTTGTCAAGTACTTTGCATGAATAGCATATGTCAAATGCTTTAAACAAAAACGTTTTCGTATTTGATGGTCCAAACTGAAGTGGTAGACGGTGTTATCCTCATAGAACGGACCGACAATTGAATGAAACGTAAATCTACGGTTAGGAAAAATAGAGTGGCCTTTAAACAGTTATTTGTTTTATTTGTCTAGACTAGAAGTCTACTTTTTTCCTAGTTGTGGACTTGCAATGCACCTGACAATAATATATTTATCGAAATCTCTTTGTATATATTGTAGGCCGGAAAAGAGTTATTACCCCGTTATATTGTAAACCAGGTTTATCTAGTTAAAACTACGTATGTAGAATCGATCCCACTTAATTCTGCTATTAGTTTCAGCATAGGGCAAAATAACAGATCTGAAAAATTTCACGTGTGGTAATATACGTAGTACTTTGACTAGCTAGAACAGCTGGTTAAGCACTAGACATCTGACTACGCACTAAAACATATCGTTCGACACCATACGCAAGTTCTATGCGATATTTCCATCTGATAAGTCTTACACGCAGATCAAAACATAAATTTAGCCTCTATAGTATGATGGGTAAAGCTAACTCTTGGATGAAAAGAGACCAACATACATGTTCCGCGAGTCAAAAATTAGCCTAGAAAAATGGTTGTTTGCCCTTTGTGGTTAAAACAGCGTTGGCAACACGGCGACGACGGAGAATGTCCTTCTACTGTTAACGAAAACGTACCCGTTAGGTTCAGAACTTGATAGATTCTACCGTCTGCATTATCGAATTCAACAAAAAAACTTCTACAGAAACTGCTTAAGTCTATAAAAGAATCGTTAAATGCTGCTCTCCTTTCTTTATGTTTATATATATTCTGTGCAAATGTCAGGATGTTGAAAAATATACGGCTCAATAATCGCATCGGTGCAGAAAAACCTATACACCCGTAAAAGGGTACTCTGGGTGTTGGTGGAATTTGAGTCTAGAAACAAATTCAGCGTTGTTTGTCGTGACATCGTTTTTTTGGCAATTTTTGGGGCCTAGTGCTTTTTACTATTAATGACTTGTACCAGGGTGGCCCTTCAAGACGAGTTTTTTTTAGCCTTAATATTTTAGCTTAATCGTCGCCCAAAAGAACTCTACAGAAATAATGCTTGAAGAATACGACCCCAGGAGAGCCGGCAGATGTGATTGCTGTCGCTGGATCAAGTATAAGGCAGAAACATGTCGATGCCCAGATAAAAGTCATCTATCTTTCAACGTCAATGTATGTTAAGTCATAGTAGCTAATACCAGTCCACAGAAGCAGAAAGAAGCATGCGTTGCCGTGGCAGAGAGGTGCACAGGGTTCGGACTGATTGACCCAGAACGTCTAGAGCATTAAGGAGCACCAATCGGTTTGCAAAAAACGATTCCCTAAGCCCTTGCTAATGAACACAAAACTGCTCTGCGGGGATGGGTACGGCCTTGTATGAAAGCTGTACACCGATCGACAACTATATTCATCTAGACATGAGGTCTTTGCTGAAGGTCCATTTGCTTACATATTGCGCATTTTTCCTTAGGTCCCTAGGTGATCTTCTACCGTATTATAATGCGGCAAATAACACTCCTGGTAATGTACCTGACGTCGGCCTTATAGACATTACGTCGAAGAGGCCAGGTCTACATATTTGAGAAAGGCAGCTGGTAGTGAAGGCATAGAATTTAAGATTGCTAGACTTTTGGTTTACAAAGAAGTTCGCCTAGGCGTAGAAATAGCGAAAAATGAAGGTATCAACGGATCAAGGCCAGATAGATTAATATCTTTTGGAAATGTACATATTCAAACCAGCATACTCTAGATGCCTATAGATGCAAGTTTGGACAAGAAACAACCTCTCCCGATTCGATTTCCCTAAAAAAAGTAGTGTTTTTAGTCACAAGCCACCTTTTCAATAGTGAGCTTACGCTTCCTTCCTCCACAGTTTGGCTTATTGGCCGTTTTCACGTTTGTCATAGCATTGTGACTGTAGCTGAAGAGACGAGTACAGAGATGTTGCAAAAACACAGGGATCGCAATAACAGATATAAATTTATTGCAACTGTAATGTAGATTATTGGCCTTTTAGTAAAGCAGGGGATATAATATCTGAAACAAGCTCTAAAGCATTTTTCAAGATGAAAGTTCTAGAAAAAGATGTAATATTAAGTTATTTTATATTGCAAGCTATTTGCAATACCGATGATACCTGTCTGGAATTAAATTATATTGCAGTGTAATTCTGGTGTTCACCTGACGTCTATTCGAAATGCCGCCATTTTCTCTTCATGATACAACAGTAAATCTTTTTTATTTAAATAACTAAACTGCTTTTACTATAAAATCAATGAGTTAGCAGATGCAGTATACTATGGAGTTGCACAGGTTTAGTGGGAGGGAAACAAATTTCGTACAACTGGGCGCTTTAAGCGACCTAAAGAGTCAATACTCGTAACATAATCGCATAAGTGCAAAATTTGTTTAATATAATGGTTTTCATCTGCGGCCCTGGATACATCTTCTTGTCATTTAACCAAGCAGAGAGCAATTGTCTTTCAGGTCAAATCGCTTCTAAGCGAACTGTGAGAGTGCGCGGAATAGAAATGACGATAAGGCATGCTTTGCAGTTCTAACCTTCACGTCAAACATGCGCACGGGGAAGTATCAACATATTTCTGTTCTAAACATGGGACGTATTGTGAAAAAATCAGATAAGTCAGCAATCGCTCCTTGTTCGGATCGTGTTCGGATATATTACGAACGCCCTTATTTGCATCGGTGATTTACGAACATAATAGGAATGAACGGCAACCACTTGTATGTACCGCAATTTTTCCTCCACCGCAACTTTTCATTGCATCGTGAATGTTTTATTTTTTGAGTAGTACTCGGCATTCTATATGGATACTATTCTAAATCACTGCCAGGTTTCTTTCCCAGTATCTACGTACGGCGTCCACTTAGCTCGTAGGAGGTGCAAACAAACGATAATTATCAAGGTTTTCTTAAAATTTTCGCTTATTTAATTGATAATGGTAATAGCTGTATTTATTTGGTCTGTGTGGTAATATAGCACGTCCAGATTAGCAAATTTTTGCTGGTCACGAAAACACCGTCTCACGTTTAGACTCAACTTTTTTCACACACACACACACCGGACATTGTTCAACGCTATAGTAAAACATTGTATTAATCCAGCCTAAAGTGAGTTCGAATCTGGTCGGCTTAGAAGCAACATGGGTGCATTGCAATTGTCTTCCTGTACCACTTCTATGATCCGGTTGTATGTGCTTCCATTGTGCTGTTTTCATTGCCTGCTTGCACTCATCTCATTACCCTCTCTCGTGTAATTTTATGCACATAATTTTAACAGACCATTGTACTTATTTTTGATTGTTTTACCAACTAATGTACCAACGTTAGGCATTACACATAATGTATTATACAACCATGCTTAGCTAAAATATCTTTTTGTGTTTGCGGGTTATATATTCTTACCAGTATCGTGAAATGTAGATTTGCTATATAGCTAAATTTAACACGAGCCCTTGTGGTGTCATAAGAAATAGGGGAAAAAAGTGATTTTTTTAAAAAAAATATTGTTAACGAAAGTTGTTTAAATGAAATAAATAGTTTTTATCGGACACTATGCAACTACGTATAAATTGGTTGTGATTTTTTGAATGTAATTTTTAATCGTATTATTTCTATTTTCAGGTGCTCATATTATCTATGCACAATCTGACAAAGATAAAAATAAAGATAGTAATGGTCTAATTGTAATAAAAAGGAAAAAACTCGATGTTACCTATAATTAAGGATTTTCAATTTATCGTTTTATGATATTAGTCGGTAAGGGCTTCCCAATATTGTATGAAATCATATATTTCCATGTCTCCGTTGCCAATAAACGGTATCGCTGAAGTATCGCTAAAGGACTCCTCAACTTGGCTTACTATCAACCTTATTACACGTTTTAAGTACAAATGTGTACTTGAGCGAGTAACGCAATACCAATGTGAAAATAATATATTAAGCTGTATATATTAGGTGTCCAAAATTTAGTTTGGTACAACAATAAAGTTCGCTTTCCTTTATTACTTACTTTGCCCAATGTTTAGTCTGCTGATAATCAAATGTTTCAAATCAGAAACCTGTTTCTTCAGAGTATTGTTGTTCGTCCTTCATTGAGATTAAAACCAAACTTTTTAAATTTTTTAAAGATTGCCTCAACCCATTATTGTAAAAAGATAACCTTACATCTCTTAGCAATAAAATTCCCATGGTAAGTCGAGGCTCTACTGCTCCTGCATTTTTTTGACATTGGAATCCATGGGAAACGGAGAAGGTGGCGAAAATGCTGTTCTTTGTGCCCGACTTATCCAACTTCGGCACAACACTTGCCAATCGGCAAGCGATAACCTAGAAAAGCGGGGTGTTAGATAACTACTTACATACCCAGCACACTTATATATATACTTGTTCAAAGAGAAACCAGTTTCAAATAATAGGTTGTAACTATCGTCGAGGTGTACTTGAATGGCTTAAAAAATGAAAAACTTCCTACGGACGGCGACGATTCCAAGGGTCAGTTTACATTGATGGTACTTAAACCTCTAAACGCTTTTAGGGACCCTGCATTAGTAAAAAGGTCGGTAAAATGTCTTCAAACGCCTTACTGCCTGCATAACAGTTTACGATGTTAATTTCTTAATTCAGGTAATCAACAAATTCCACATGTTTATAATGAGGTCAGAGTTAGAAGCATTACTGTCCCAAGTTTGATGGTAGGTTGGAGTAACCGTTTAAGACGTCCCATGGCATCATACCAATATCATCCATATGGTAAGTTACACTGTGACAATTTTGGACATTTGCCATGGTGTAGAAATGCGTTTACATGCACATCTAATAATTTTGCCGCTATAGGATAAAAATCAAAGAACAAACATATATTTATGAAAAGGTTATATAAAAATTAAGTTTCAAGAAGCCGTTTTATTTCCAAAGGAATGAACCAGTCTATTGATTCAAACCGCCGCGAACAGCAGTAGAAGGTGTTATTATTCATTTGAACTGCTTTCTGGACGAAGATGCATAGGACAGTTGCGGAGGAGAATACAGGATCACTGGCGTGGTCGGGCTCTTCAATTGTTGTACAGTAACCTCGATACTGATTCCTACACTAAATAACGTCCACAGATCGACTCTAAACTGAACACAAATTGAAAGCGCGGTGAATCGTCTTTAATGGAATGAGCTCACTTTCGTTACCTTTTATGGTCATCTAACGTCTCATCGCACAAAGTAATTGCCGTTTCTATTACCAGTAGAGTGTGCAGGATGAAGATTCTTCAGACAGTTTCTAACGACAACAGCGAGCGACAAGCAAAAGTATTGGACCCCTCTGTTTCATATAATAGATAAATGTTAGTATCATCACCTGTACTCGTTCGATAGAACAAACTATACAAAACAATATCATAATAATATGAAGGCTTAGTTCTCACGGACTAAACAGAACCGCGGCAAAAGGATGATATCGGCTTCTTCATACATCCGATCTTCCCCCAACAGAAACAGATCCGTTTGTTTCATCGACACACTTAAGCCTGGCCAAGGTTAATCTGATTACTTTGCCCTGATGCAATATATTCAGATAGGCTTTTCTTTCATGCCTTCCTTCAGCATAGCACACGATTGGACAAAGCCCTCACCATGCGGTTCATTAATAAAATGCTACTATCGGCGACTAGCACTAAATAGCGCCATGACTTAACGAGATTCTATTTCTTTGATTGGATGCCGTTTATTTTCTTTATCATGCTGGTTTTGGTTACTTAATGAAGATTATCACGTACGAGCGCATGCTGTTTAAATGTTAATATTTTATACAGTGGTCGAGACGTTATACGGCTCCATAAGGTCGTAGACGCAGGAAAGCGAATAATCAGATAAAACAAAATGAAGATTTCATCAATTCAATTACAAATAGTCCATCAAACGAGGTCCCGGATTCTTTATTGACTTGGAGTTAATTAACAATTTGCTGAAATATGTGAAAACTTTCGACAAAACACGCTGACCCAAGTTAAATTAAATTTAGCACACATAAGACTTGCGTTCAATCTAAGCCAAGTTCAGTAGCTGCTAATTTTTTTGCGGTTTGTACACTTTAATTCAGCCCGTCATGTGTTCAGTGCTTTGTGTAGCACTAACTTCTAACGCGCTTGTATGGACTTCTACGCCACATTGCTGAGGCAATCAAATGTAGAAATAATTTACCTTTACATATTAACTGATGTAAATGTTTGCAACCCATGAGCTGGCTGAATGAAAACTAGTTGTTTGGGCGACTAGAAACAGGTGCGGTCCAGGTGCTGCTGCGTTTCAATTTCACGGTTCTGCCACATAAGTGCGGTTAATGGACTTTTTTTTTGAAAGTCCATTAACCGCACTTGCTCTCTACGAGTTGTTTGGAATTGATCGCATTGCTTTAGATATGGGTTGAAGTAACGTACACAGACTTGAATTTACTCAGACGGAGATTACACATGAAGATTATACTTTAAAAAATAGCCTCGAGTTCTGTCGCAGCTTCGAGCCTCATTTTCAGGCCTCAAAGGTGCAAAACATGTTTTCTGCCTGGTGCAAATGCCCAGAATATTTATAATATATTTGTGACATTAATGTCCATATAATTGTTGACAAAATTGAGTGTTAATAATTATAACCAGTGCTGGCTTATGTAGCATTAAAATACAACCAACTATTTCTGTGTAACCGTGTACCCATAATCATGATTTGACCTTTATTGTATACACCAATAATATGCATTGACTTGTTTTTAATTAGATTTAGAATAATATTTATGAAACCTAGATTATTACTACATTTACAATATGTGAGTTGCTCAGATAGCAGTTGTATTAACAGCTGTTCTGTGTTTCGATTGTTATACAAATCATCTGGTATGAATTTTTGCATGATGGAGCTCATTGACTCCTCTTATCAGCGTATAATTTAATTGCTAAGAAAATCGCTTTTTCGAATGGGAAGCAGCTTAAAAAGCATGTTGCGGCCTGCTTTAGAGTGCAGCTCATAAATAAACGTGAAAAGTGGCTCTATCTATATCAACGTTCAATTAATAAAACCTGTGCATCCTTTCAGAAAAGGTTTCCAAACTAGAAAGTATAAACATTGTAAAGACATAAGACTCATAATGGTGAAAATAAAATTCTGATTTTTTAATTATAAAGCACCAAAAAATGAAACTAACGATGAATTATGCTCATCTAATTGTTATCTAATTATAGAGATCTAGGTTGATCTCCAATATAGCTCCGTAAATTTTCAGAGTTTTATCATGCTGACTACAGAAACAGTAGCGTCGTTCAAGAGGTATTTGTGAAACTGTTTTTGAGAACAGAGTCATACGCGTTTGAACAAAGAAAAGACAGTGACGTTGAAAGCACACCAAATGAGCTCACTGAAATGACGAGCCATCACCGTTACTGCCAAAAAGACCACGTTCATTATGCTCCTATTCTGGCTTGTAGAGGCCTCTAATAAAACCACCAACTCAAGAAGTGGTTAACTATTTCTTTAAGCTATAAACTCACTGCTACTATGATCAGGTTTAAACAACTAGCTGGCTGTGGTAATTCGGGTATCACCTTCTAGCCCGCTACCTAAGGATGTCTTTAGTGTAGAGCAATACCGCATATAGGAATATCACAACAGCTACAAACTTGTATCCCTCGACTATATTCCACATTCAGAGAGTGTCGTAGTGGACTACCGAATAGTTGTAGTGGAGACAACGTTGAAAGAAGCTGATTTTGTTTAGTAATAAAAATATTTTATATAATATTTAAACCCGTACAAAAAAATCCAACAAAAAATACGATTAATTGTAGCAGGAACAATCAGCATAACGGAAACAGCCCTTTACTAGATAATAGGAGAATATCCATATACCTATATGACACGTTGTGTACAGTCACAAATGCATATATTTCAATTCGATAAATGGAATATAGCTGCATGAATTCGTTACCTATCCAAATGCAGATATTCCAAAAGCACACAAATCAAACCTTGCAATGAACTTCGTCAACATTTGCTCTTAAAACCGTATGAAATGTCCTATTCATAACGTATGACTATCGAGTTGATGGCTTTGGCTGAGAAGCATTTGTAAAAATATCTGCATTAAAGAGCTGCTGTTGCGCTCTGAGTGACCAATACAAAAGTTGACCTCAGTCACAGTCAGATCACATTTCGCGATTTTTCAGCAGGCAATAAATACACGACGTCTCCTTTGGCAAACAATACATAGATCATATTTATTAACACATTAAGCTTACCATATCCGTGTAAAAAGAGCTGTCACTAGTATGAATACCAAGAGCTTAATGACGCTTTCCGCCAGCTTTTCCTTTACGGCCCCGGCTTTTGGTCTTTTCCTTACTTTTAGCCGCTCGAAGATCTTTCTTCATCCGCGGATCTACCACCTTTAATTTAACGTTACCCTTAAACTTCGGAACTCGAGTCTGACCCTGAAACTTTTTAGAAACGATGTATTTCACCTCTTTCTTTTCCTGTAAGCAGGGATAAGCAACAGGTGATTTGTTAGACTTCGCCTGCTTATAATGCAACATATGGACAAATGTTGCCTCAGTAAAATTAACCGAAAAAATAATATTATACTGGGATCAAATGTCCCCTCTATATATTTTTTACGATGTTATAATTAACGTCAAGCCATCATGATATCAAATAATTGTTGATTTGATTACTGATGTGTCATCTCTGAACACACAAAGCGTGTAGAACATGACTCTCTATGTTTATATGGCCCACAAAGCGACGAAGATCTTTATATTGTAGGTATGATTTTCAGTCTGTTTGGATACAAACATATCGTGCTAACAGTATCAAGAACTGCTGTCGTACAATTTACATTACCTTTTTGAGAGCTTTGGAATAGATCTGTTTTAGATTCTGTGCCTTCTCTGTTTCGCTCATGTCCAGGTTGCCGCAGAGCTCTTCGGCCTTTTTACGCGCTTTTTCCATCCTTTTCATAAAACGGCGCTTCTTACGACTCTTCGCTTCGACCACTCTCTTGATTGTCTTTACATTAACTTCCTTCAGTTCTTCTTTATTACGGCGTAGACTTTCCGAGCTGACCTCAGGTAGCTGATGAATTCGAAATGCGACTCTAAACAGTTATTCTCAAATGTCGTAGGATATTAATTGCAAAAATTTGATAAACTCCTGTTTGAAATTTTATCCCATTGCTAGAAAAATAGATTCGCATTCAGCTGGAGGCGAATTTCCACATTTAACCGAGGTGGATGGGATATATGTGTTCACGCTAGGTTCATACCTTGAGGCAGTGCTTTTTTTCGTCCTCGACAAACCACGACGGAAGGTTTTCACGATCGTCAAACATGTACCTGTGAAAGCCTTCATTAAAAATGTCACGTCGACTTTTTGCGCTTCGGATGAGCCGTTCACCGAGCGCACGACCATAAGCATCCAGCATAGGGATGCCCTCTTTTTCCTTTTCTTGCATCTCTGTTATAATTCCCAAAGCTGCAAATAATTGTTAGGCACATAGATTTAGGTTGCGAAAAGTATTTCGACGTCAGAGTACATACAGATTATTCGATTTCAAATACAACAGAAAAAATACAACAGAAGTCTCATCTAATGAGAACTTACATCATTTGCATTTAACCGAATCTTTCTAGAGGGTAGGATAACCACAACACAGTTACGTAACATACGTACGTTGCACTGAATTTGGTTATGGTTTTCACGTTATTTTTAGGAAGAAGACTAAAAATAACAACTAAATAGTTAGAAAACTGAACAGAGAAACGACCTATCCATACCTTTTTTTATTTGCGGTTTTCGCGCCTCTTTCTCTTTTCGAATTTCGTCCAGCTCCTGTTCAATCTGATCGATATACTGATCATGCTCGTTTTCAACGGTATCTTCGTATTCGTCATCGGACGAATTCAGTTCAGGGTCCCCTTTCTTTCGTTTAGCAGCCTTCTTCCCATATTCGCGTCTCCTTTTAAGATCTTGATTAACTTCGGAGCGTACGTTTTTCAGGCTAGGAACATCCTCACAGAGGTCGTCGTAAACCGTTGTTTGGCCAACAAGAGTTGTCCTGCTGAACCATGAAGAAGCCTTCTCTACTTTACGAACACGACCTGTCCCGAGTTCATTGACAATTTTATCTGGATCGACAGCTTCGCCATCTTCGTTCTCATTCCATTCCATTTCCTCGTCATGGTCGTCATCATCGACATCACTGTCTCTACTTTCAGTCACTTTCGCACTTTTGCGGCTAATCGCCACACCAGTATCTCCAACTTCTTCGAGCTCATCGTTGGACAAATCATGACCGTCCACCATAGCTTGCTTCATGGACTCGAGTTTCTTAAGCTGGAAGACATCCTTGTCTTCCTGGACAATGCCTTCGTCACCTTTAATTATCATCTTCAGGTTGAGGGCATCCCTCGTTTTCCTGAGCTGTTTGAGCTTTTTACGTTTAACTCGTTTTAGTTCTTGCATAGCTGCAGCGTTCATTTGCTGGACGTGTCTAAACAATTTTGTTTCTTCATCGTCATCACTGTCATCATTTTCCTTCATGTCAAGTTCCTCCACATTATCCTCTCCGTCCTCCTTTTTAAATTGCTCGTGTAATTTTTTCCTCCATAGTATGAGACTGCGAAGCTCGCTCTTCCCAAGAACTTTGATATCCTTGCAACACAACTTGATTTCCTCAGAAGTTGAAGGGTGATTGATGACATGATCATTATCAAGGACGATCTCGTGAACTTCTCCCAGTAATTCCATAAATCTGTCCGATTTAATGAATTCTACGCACGATATAGATTCGTGCATCCTCGCGCCATCCTTATATCTGAAGCATGTAATGACGATAATTTGTTAGAAACTAATCTTTTGCATATTGAAGGTCACCAAGAACGATCACAAGACAAAAGTTACGAGGTTAATACAAGTCTGTTTCATACGCATAGTATCTCGATAATCATACTAATAAAAAGTGCAGTGGTTAACTCACCCTTCAGCCTTCGGTTTCTTAAGGCTGGCCGCTCTCTCAAGAACATTTTTGGTGGCAGTCTCCTGCGAAATGTCTAGTTCTTCAAATAGATACTTTGCATTAAAGAATCTATCGTCGAGCTTATCAGGCGCTACATACCCTTGACAGACGATAAAAATTTCAGCCGACTCATGGCGAGAAGCGCGAGGTTTTGTGGCCGACACCTACCGAAAACCCATGATATAATTCAATATTTATTTACAGTACACCAAACCCAATATCTTTTCTTACCTTTAATAGTTTTCCAACTAATGAGCACACTTGAAGGAAATTTACGAAATAAATACTGCATATCCAATTTTTTAAATTTTACTAAACGTACCTTTCTAAAGAGTTTTTTGAGGACCCACATGAAGGCATTATAATCTTTTGATCTGAACACCTTAGTGACAAACCATCCACCTTTGACAAGGAATTCTGAAGCGAGTCTAAGGGCGTGTAAAGAGAGACAGATTTGCGAGTAGGCATCGTGCAGCCAATTTTTACCTAAAAGAATAAATAAATAGTTATACAATGCTACAGATTGTATGAACAGTAAGATCAACAATTTTCCAGTCAAATTTGCTGAACAGTTCAAGCGGGAAAAAGTCATTAGGAACGGAATGTTTGCTTCTGTTACATTTTTATCGACCAAAAATTCAGACAAAATCTTTAATCACTCGCTTTACCTTAAATTTTAGGGTAATCTTAACGGCCCACAGTACTTAACATCTTTTCAATGGCTATCAACGACTTTTTACAAAACACCTACCGACATTAGGAGCACCATCGTTAAGCACAACGTCAGCCTTCCATGTTTTCAGCTCGCCTTTAAGTGCCTTACGGCAATCTTGTGTAGTAATGTCGTGGGTGAGACCTACCACATTTGGGATTGGCTTAATTGGCACCACATCGACACCAATAATCAGTGACGAGGCAGGCATATACTTTTGTGCCACCTGTAAATAAAGTAATGCATTCACACGTTCTAATTACAGATTTGTTTGACCTTGATGATGGACTAAACTATTACCAAGGTTAACAATCGTAGAAGTTTGTGCTAGACTTATGCCTAGAGTGAAAATAAGTTTCTCTTCTACTTTTTAGCCTAGTAGTATGGAACCTTGATAATGGCATTTAAGATAAAAAACATAGCTATTACAAGTAATTAATATATTTCCCACTAGTACGAAATGCTAAGGTACTACACAGTCCAGCGTCAATAACTTAGTTATATAAACCTTCGAGGTTATGAATAACATGCTGACGTACTGTTTAATCTATAAGCAGATTATCATCTATAAACAGAGAAAAAGTATTATTGCTGAAACAGCTGAAAGCTTAAAAATTAGAAAATAGGAAATTAGTAAGTAGGATGGTGAATTATCGTTTTTCAAATAACCTGCCTGTAACCATCCCCCTGGAGCAGCGCACAGATCGATAAGGACCCGTGATCTCTGAAGAAACTCAAACTTCCTGTTCAGTTGAATTAGCTTAAATGAGGCGCGACTGCGGTAGCCAGTTTCTTTGGCGAGATGATAAAACTTATCCCGCCGCTGCTTTCCCGTCTTGCCCTTCTGTCCCATTTTGTTACTGCAATCATGATAGTCATAAAAAATACATGTAGAATAAGATTGATATAATGTATCGTGCTGGCTAGCGCATTAAGTTGACAGCCGTTGAGTATTAAAGATAAGGTGATTGTAAAAATATTTAGAATGTTGCGTGCATAAAACTCAATTATTTCCTAGGTAACTTTACACAAACCTGAGACACGTAATTGGTACTCACATTTGTGGCCTACTTTGTCAAAGACAGACTCTATCATATTTGTTTCACCTGACGTGTATAACTTCGATAAATCGATTCAAATTTGTTCTTATAAAATTTACACAAATAGATCATAATCACTTACCTTTAAATTCCGCGACGAATCACCAGATACAAGGTAATTTTTTTACCCTACAGTAGTTCACATGTAGTAGGCAAGCATGCATCTATTATGTTTTTGCTACTTGAAACACAAACTTTTAGATCTAATTAGGTGTCGCCAATAGCAATCTCGTTCGTAAGACTGAACACCTCAAACATGTGAGCTTGTTTGGACGTTGGAGCGACTCAACATAGGTCCGCCGATTAGCTGTACTACGCGGAATGAATAAGCTGAATATCGAGTCTCACGGTTACGGCGCGATTAAAGAAGTATTACTTATCATCGGTCAGTGGCCCTAATAATTTCCTCGAATATGTGAGGTTTTACTACATTTTGCTGTTTAATTCATTACAAAACAAATCACGTAAGGTATTCTTTTCGGTGCAAATTGTCGAGTAGTTTTTCTTACTAAAAATCAGTATAACTCCCAACTTATTTCTATCTGGTTCAACTTTATACGATTATTTTATTAGTCATTTTATGCTTACTGTATTCTCTTTGTTTATTAGAGTAACTTCTAACGGTCAAGTTCATATTTGTAGCGTACTTATCACACACTAAACTTTTGATCGTTTACAAATGGATTCTCCGCACAAACTCAAATTAACTTGACGAAGAATGTCTACATAGTTCTGAAGTGATAAGAACCTCTACGATAGTGCACTGCTAGTATATTTGCCTGCTAAACTCAGGAATACGAAAAACGGTCAAGATTTTATCATAGCTTTTTCACGCTAGGAATCAGCCGTCTCACGCAATGCTTAACAGCGACACCGAACGTGAGACTCAAGTCATTGATTTTAATATAACGAAACTATAACATTGCAACTAACTAAACGCGTACACTGACGTTTTTGAGCGTCGATTACGCGGGAAGGAATGGAGAGATGCCTACGTCGCGCGATTAGTTGAATGAATATTATCTTGATTTTTATCGTTGAAGAATCCTTTGTGCAGCCTGGAAGACTGCAAAATGTATTAGGTGATCCTTTTTTTCGTTCTTAGATTAAAAAATCTTATCATATAATTATGTTGGGTTACCGCCAACACGTGAAATTTTATTTTGACATTTGACTATATCAAACTGGATTACTGTGATCTCCTCGTTTCGAATTAAGACCTTGCTAGTACAAACGTTATGACATTTTATTGATTTCTTAAAAACTGTCAACCCAATTGATGCATATCTGAGTGCAGTGCGCTCTTTGTCATGATACATCGTCACACATAGAATACTGTTGTCAAAAGTACAAAAATTTCTTTTTAAATTAGCTCCTTTAATCTAGTTTAAGGTGGAAAAAGAATGACTAAAAATATATTTGACACATTGTTAGCACATGTCTTTATATATGAATTTCTAGTCCGTCCGTTAAACGATGCCTATTTTACAAAATTTTATATACAGGATTGCGCTCTTTTTTGTTTGCAGAAAATACCTTCTCCAAGCATTTACGATACTGAACACATGTGTTTTCTGTAACGTTTAGTTCGTATAACGTCTACAGCCTGATGACCATCATATTTGCGTTTCCTGGCTCGCACTCAAAACCCAGTGCCTCATAGAACGGGATGAGGTTATCTTTGCAATCAAGTGAAAGCTTATAGCAGCCAACTCGACGCGCGAGGTGAAGAATGACTTGTACGATGCTGAAAACAAAAATTAAAATACCGACACAATGAGTTTCCAGTAAGCTTAGAATTGCAATACTGGTGTCTAGATTAACTTATGTTCGTTTTACATGATTAATAAAGTAATAAATAACATGCATGATTAAAAGTACTATTCCAGTTATTCTTCGAACGCAAAAAATATACATATAGATGTATTGGGAAAGTACATACAGATGTTCAAATACAAGATTTATTCCAGGAGAAAATTATAAATATCTCGCACAAGGCCGTTGCAAACAAGCTATTATTAAGTAATTGAACTATTAGTTTAGCTAAAGAGATCCTAACAGTTTTCCGAGATTCTTTCCACGGTAGGCTTGGTTGACAACCACATCCTCCAAACGACCTCTCTGTAATGTAAGACAGTGCTGTGTTAAAATACGCCTATCCTGCTGCATATCAGCTTAAAACAAGCTAACCCTGTTAGTAATTGTTACAATTTTTACGTGATTTTCTAGTAGTATTTTATTAATAGTATTTTTATTTGTGGGTGTATCTATAAAATTGTCTTCGTTCTCACCTAAATTGGCTTTAAAGCGTTTCGAAAATATTCGTACTCACTGTGCTTCGCTTATCTTAATACAATGCATTTTCTAAATGATTCTTTAGCTTGACACCAATCGAATAACAAAATTTCGACATATCTCCCTTACCATAATTTCAAATCGAGCAATATATCTGTTGTAGCTTGATCTTAAAATACTGGTTCATATATTCTGTGTTTTACCAGATTTAAAACTTTACCAGGGCGCAACATCTGATGAATTTAAGTTCAACGGAAAGTGTAGAGGATGCAATGATTTTCTTTGCTGTGATATCCTCTATCACAGTAACAAAATAATGATTCTTGCAGGCTTTCATTGCATCGAATCGTTCTGCAATTAATAAAAACGCAATTAAAAAAAATATGTAAACACAACGAATTTATCATTTCAAGGAATTTATGGAGTTAGTACTACACGAAAATGGAGGAATTATATATAATTCCTTAATCCGATATATATGGGAAACCATATTGGAATATATCATATTAGAAATCATTAAATTCGACTGTGATAATTTCATACAAATCCAAGGCGATTATATAATTTATAGATAACAAAGGGGCTCAGCAGAGGCTCAGCCAATTATAAGGTGAAGGCCTGCTGCCAACTCCAACGAGTAGCTGGCTCGAATACGCCAATGCAGCCAGACGATATGTTTCAATAACGCAAGATTTCAAATATTTTTATCGATTCGAATTTACCAAATTGTATGAATAAGTGATAATACGAATAAGCGTGTGTGTGATCTAATTTACCTACCGTTGAATTTCTCCTCAGACACTTGCCCAACGACTGTAAGCTGGGACAGCAACTCCAGGTATCCTAGTAGCAACGAAAAACCACATTTCTAATCTCGATTTAGTGAGAAACATTAATCGCAGTCGATCCGGACTACTAGTGAATGGAGAACAGCTTCTGAATCGCAGGTAGAGTAGCTTAAAACGTAATGAAATACTTTTAGACGCTACGGCCGTGCGTCTAGCTAATCAGTTTACCAAGTTGTCTTTAAAGAAACTGCGCCTAACAAAGATATGTTTTGCGTTAAAGAAACTTATTTATTACAAATAAATAGCTGTAGTATGTAGATCTTGAATTTTAAAAGATGGAAGACTATTATTATTATTACTTCAAATATTTTTATACAAACTGCAGGCTTGCCCAGCTTGTTGTGGCTCTACTGACTCCTAGTAGAGCACTAAAAATAATCGTGCTTATCGGTGGTCTAACGGCCTGTATCGGAAAAGCCTACAGAGACTATCTTTTACATCTCTCGGACCACGTTAACGCCTGTTTCAAATTTATCGTCACACTTTACAATTATCAACTATGGAAAATACGATAGCAAACACAGTTACTCCATATAGCAGTTCAACAGGTCGGTTAAGTGTAGGATTTGTTTTCTTTTGCCGTCGCTTATTGAGAAAAACGATAGCGGCCCTGAATAACTAGACAATTTGTATAATAATAACAAGCGCCTTTTATCCATGAATCAACACATATTTCAAAATAGTTAGGAGTAATACGGATCTTCACCAAAAAACCAACTTTGCTAACAGTTTGCGACAATTAACTCTCCATGTTGCACTCAAATAAGTACAATTTTTTTTACTAGAAAATAAAACTGGAAGAAGATAAGTTAGGCATAGCGACATATCTATACGCCTCATTCATATAATTCAAATAATAAAACTTCAAACAAATATATGACGTCTAATCGTTTGGTTTGACGTTAATGTTTTGTTCTGGTATTTTACAGATCGAATTCGCAAATGTAGCGCACGTAAATGACATGGTCATACAAACAAAGTAATAGATCTAAGCCCCAATGTATGTTAGGTTAGACCTGCATGCACGTAGAGGTGCAAAAAGAGAGAGAAAAAAGTGCACGTAGAGAGGAAAAACTGGGCGAACCTTAAAAGATGTTCTATTAGTTCTAAAGCAGCACTGTATTTTACAATATGAAGTTACCATCTTCATCATCAGAAGCTAAGATCTACTTTAGAGTAATCCTGCTATAACGATAACAATGTCTGTCATAAAAAGAACAGCTAACCGTCACCTATGACAAAAGCTAGCATTCGCTTCATGCATTGGGTAGCTTATCAAACTTTGGCCAGCTGTCATAGAAAAAAGAAATAATCATCTTTTTTACCTTTATGGAAGTCGTCTTTGCTAAGTGGTCGGATTCTCAGTCCCTCGGGTGGATTGAACTCGAACTTAGACAAGAGCGATTCATCGTATAAACTTTCCGTCATCTGTAAAAAAAAAAAGAATAGATATAATGCTTCTATTTAACACAAAGTCATTGATGGATGTTGTTATGCACACATGCAGAAAATACGTGTATATATTCAGAATTTCTGCATTAAGCTTTGCCGTCAGACGTGTTCCTCTTAGTTCCGTGGGCTTTTGCCATTGTCTCTCTTATCTACTAACATACATGCGATCCTTACATTCGATCACCGTTTATGAGCCTGTTTGTAACATTAAGAAATAGAGTTACCGTGGTTGTAAGAATAAGTCCTGTGGTGAAAATAAATGTTCTGCCAGGTATACTTCGATAAGCCCGTTCTTTAGCGGATCTTTTTTGTTACTGACTGTGCTTGATCGGCCGGAGTAGAGTGACTTTCCCCCTAATCTGCAGTCGAAGCGTCCAATTTCATTGTGACAAGACAAGTCATTGTCGTCGCTGGCGCGAAAATTTAAATAATATTCAGGCAAGTTGTCAACGATTTCGGCATTGTCAAAAGACGCGATATATCATAGAAAGCAGCTTATGGTTTTGCTTGATTTCAAGGTTTTTTTTAAGAGTGAAGAGATTAATATAGTTAAATAAAATGGATTACTAAAAAAGAGCGGAACTAGTCGTCCACCTGAACTTGGGTCCGTCGAGTCGCGGTGCATCTTAGACGGGTTCTCTGTAATTTGCACGCTGACTTCTAGGCGCCAAGTTGAACATAAGTTTCTTCTTTTGAATTTTTTGCATTTGAACATAAAAATATAAGGAATATTGAGGCAGAATCGAAAGAAGGCGGGGGAGACAGGAATGGAGAATAGACTTATGCGCACATCATACGATTTTTTACTGTTTCGGTAGAGTGCAGAGTTTTCAAGCAAAAAATCTTGATCCTCAATGGCTTTTTCAAATGGTTTTATTTCTCAACTTCGACTTACTGTGCGGTCCAGCGTGAACATCACTGTACTCTCTACATGTAATAAATTCTAAATAAGTTCCTGCCGTGTCAAAAAAGTTCTCGCTGACGTATCAGTGATTTTAGGTTTTACACAAAAACGTGAAACAAGCAAATATACCAAGTGGTGTCCGAGAGAATTGGACAATAGTACCCCAGAACGATGTCTGTAATAGACAGCCTGATTGGAAGAAATCGTAGTGAGAGGTAGACCGTAATAAGCAGCTTATTAAGAGGGTTCCTTGCCCTCCACCCTGGCAAAAACTCGGAATTGTTACAATTAATTAGGGAGATCAACTTTTAGGGTGCTACTAGACGTGGAATACTATAAAATACATGACAGATTTTTACGTACAAGGAAAATTAAGTGATTAATAATTTTTTTCTATTATTATTATTAACGGTATTGTTTTAATATTGATTAGAATATAAACACGATTTCGATAGCCCGAACATAAATCGTAACTCGGTGCACACTTGGTTAAATCACAAATTAGTTGACAAATTAACTGAATAATTGACAGAATGCTCAGTTCATGATTCAAACAAACGGGGACGGCTGACTTAAGCCACGCAGTAAAACGCACAAGTATTTGTGCTGATTAACGATATTTACTCGTGTTACTTCGCAAGTGAGATACTTTGATGTCCAATTTATACCTTTTACCGTGGGCGCACTCTAAGCGCCATTATGGCACACGATTATTCACAGATTCTTGGAAGTAGTTGTTATTGCAAGGTTATTGGTCAGCTGTAATGTCACACTGAAACCGCACATAATCCGAGATATGTTTCCCTATGGACTACTGAAACACTCACGATTCCGCGTTTGACTGGGACGAATCAGCTGATTTTCGGCGCCACGAGAAGGCGACGTAGACACTTATCGCCCTTTCGCTTCTCCGCCGCTCTCCGAACGGACAGTCCCGTCCTTATTACAGCAACATTTGAAGTCAATTTCAGTTAAAATGTTTGTTTTTGTTGAGCTGACGATACCGACGTACTGTATTTATAAGGTTTCTATTCTGAATTAGGTTAGGCGAATGACTTGTAAGCTGTATGTAAGGTAGTGTTACTATTCGCTCTTAACCCACACGTATAGCTTAGTATAGTATGACTTTTTTTTTTCGAAAATAGATTTGGCGGTGTCAGTCGATTCGGACTGTAAACGATGCGATTTACACTCGAAGATATTTACTTACGCCAAAATGTGTTATGTCGATTGAAAAAGCTGTTACAGAAAATCATATGATACGTTGAATGCCGTTAAAAAGAAAAACATAAGTAAGTCTGTTTGCCGTTTATCTGTTCCAGAGGTTGCACGCGCTTGTTCAGATATGATTCATTGATAACTTCAATGTTTTGTTCGTGGCCAAGTTAAGGCATTGAATTGAATAAATTTCAGTGTAAAAAACTACGATAACCTTTTTGCTTAGGTATTTTTATCCCTGGTGTGACACGGTAGCAAAAAAAAAGACATAATAGGTCCTTGACTATATACAATATAGACATCGCCAGTGGCACAAATAATAACATATTGATTTACTATTTGTAGTGTTACTGAAGCCTGTCCTCATCATAATTGCAGGTAGTTTTGCCAGTTTTTTTTATCTCGATTTATTTTTTTAGAACGGTAGGTTTTTCTGAATTGTGAAGAGTCTTCGAAGTTCATTCAGGTGAGCGACACGAATAATACCTCACTCTAGACGTTACCTACGCCAGTATTATCGGGCTGCGTGCTATATTATTCCGCTTTTATTCCTGTTACACTCTTTCCTTATATTCAATTTTCAAGTTCTCAGCTAATTTTTTTTCAACAAACAAACTGACAAAATGTTAGATTTTTCAAGTTCAATATACGTGTATGTACACATACGACTAAGGAAAAAGTTTCGAAAATGCGCTTACCTCTACTACTTAGGGACGTAGGCGTGCTGTAGTCAGGTTGTTGTGGCTAGTAGGATTCACAGAAAGGTTAACGCTAACAGATAATGTCGCTATCTATTGTACTAGCTACGGCTTTTGGCCGGTGCTGATGTTGCAACTGCTATTACGATATGCCACTCGGCGATTCGACGGCCTATCCGATATTAAACTTGCCGGGGTAAAACGAGGCCGTAACGCTGGCTGACTGTTTAGGCGGCCGCTTCGTTGGTCGAATCGATAGCTCATCGTTTGACCCAAAATGCGATCTGGTCGTGCGGTGGCAAGGGGGATAACACGCTGACAAAATGGCATAGTCAAGAAGGTAACGGTATGAGTAGGAGAAGCAGCGGCGATACATATTTCCACGTAAATAGAGTAGCGACAATGTCAAAAGACATAGGAGCAAAACAAAAGAAAATTGATTTCTTAAATAGAGAATAACGGAACAACCAGATCTGAATTTGCAACTTTGGATTAGAACAACCATACAGCCTTGTAAGGTCTGGCCTTGCGTAGATGGCATAAACATAATGAACAGTATGATACCTAATGGCAACAACAAATAAACTACGAATGTTCATATAGATAGAAACGTGAAGACAACTGTCAATAAATTCTACATGGTTGAGCCATGCTTCTAACAAGCAGTCAGAACTGATAATTTCATAGAGACAGTCATTTTGTGGGGCGGAGGGGTCAAAGCGCATAGCTTCATCATCATCATCTACCAATGTCTATTCAGGACATGCGTCCATACTTAACGACTTTAGAACTTTAGAAAGTTCTGTCTTCTGACACTGTCAGAATATTGATGAAACTAGCTCAGGAAAACTCAAAACTCATTCGAGTATGAACTTAGCTCGCCAGTCCAAGGAAATCAGAGTTGACAAACTGGTCTTCTCTGTGTCCGCTTCTCCAACCTCCTGAACTTGATGTATTAACTTGATATAAAAATGAAAAGAAACGCCAGCAGTTCCTCGAGTACATAGAAAACGTTGCAGCATTTAAAAGTGCTGCATATGGAACGGTTTAGTATTTAGAGCGCGTGTTAAAAAGACTCTTTTTTTTTTATCTAGGGCATAGTTAAGCATAACATAAGTCCACGTTAGGGAAAATAGGCTCTGACATAGATCAAATACAACTAAAACAGTACAGTTAACGCCAAAATACACGATTTTTTAACCGTTGACTAACGTTGCTGTAAATAAGATCGCGTATAATTGTGTGACTTTCTAAGAGCATCACGTGTTTTGTCGCTGCCATCAAGCTGTTAATATATTCTATTTCAGTGATTTCCACAGTGCGTCCTCCGACTAAAGCTCATTGTATACATTTATCAAATTTAAAAATATTTGCTAAGTTTAAAGTCTAGATAAAATTCGATAAGAACAGTCTCTGACGGATAAAGTGCTGACCAGTGAACTATAAAATTTCAGAATTCATGTTATCAGGCAGTAGGATCGCTGTTCCGATGATCCGTACTCCCACACTTTCGATCCATCTCAACGCTAACAGACAGCCATGCTTTCATCGTAGGCAAACGTAAACTAACCGCTTTCTTGTCACGCAGAGTTTTTTTTCCAGTTGCAAACCGAATCAAGAAGACAAAATCCGACACAAAGTTATGGAGATGATGAAAACATTCTGCATGCTTACGAAGAACCTGCACGATCGGTCCGAGACTAGTTGTATCCAATCGTGTAGATTGCTAACTACTTTTTAAGAAACCTGTAGCCCAGTTTTACAAAAAAAATCTTACCTTGACGTTGGAGGCGAAATTTACTTGAAGTATTTTTTTCTTCAATTTCAAGGTGATATTAGATGATAGACGATCGTATACACGTCGTTCGTGTATACGATCGTCTTCCGTAGGCCTGATTTAGGCGTTAAGCTATCTAACCCAGCTAAGTTGGCTGAGTTCAAATAAAACTCTGGCTAGGCATCGTCTCTAACAGTGCGATCATCGCTGTTTTGAGAAGCTACCGAAGATACTCTAAGCAAATAAACCTGAATGAACGGCTCTGGACTTAGGTAGAGCCCGTCGAACTTATCGGTGTTTATCAAGTTTTATTACAAGTTGAACTAATTTAGCTATGCCTTTAATATTTGAGCGCCATAAGAACTCTTGGCTGAATGCTGCGGTGCCTCGATTGTATATATAATTGTACATCTATTACTATTTCGGTTACGAAGCCTTCCATTATATACTTCAAGTGTGTCAGATATGAATTTCATTCACTTTGTTAAATAGTCCGGCGAATTATTATAAACTAACTATCGAAAAGCTAGCTACGTATCCACTGCAGTTTCGCTATTTCTTGTTTAGTAAGAGTGTGAAAGTTATTTCTTTGCGAAGGTAATTAAGTAGATGTGTCCTTTAAAGGCATCCGTCTTGCCAGATATTTAGGATTCCAAGCAAAACAAGTACTCAAAACACCGCTCTCAACGCTACGTGCAATCATTTCGTCTATATAATTGATTTATTTTATCCAAACTCCATTTGTGTAAGAGCCTCACTTTCGAAAATAAAACAATATGACGGATAGTGTGAGAAAGTATATTTCTAAAAAACCTCAGTACCGTAGCTATCTAAATATTGCATTTGGGTTCCATCGTCTCATTCCTAGTAAATGTTCTACTATTTCTTTGCAAATCATGACAAAAACTAAACTCATCAATAGCATTGTGCGGGGCATATAAGTACCTGTTCATTAACACGAACTGATCCAAATAGGTGGGTGCAGGGGCACGGTTCTATCCGAAGATACATGACATGTAGACATATAGAGGTAGTCCGTACGAGAATATCATACGCTAGAACTGCGATGTACAGACTGCCTTATGTAAATAAGTGTGCTTGTTAATCTAATAGATATGTGAAAGGTTGATAAGAAGATTAGCCCATTTATATATATATATATATATATATATATATATATATATATATATATATATAATGTAGGGCAAGCTTCGTTGATTTGAAATCAATCAATTAAAAACTGGCTAAAATTTCTAAAAAGTGCTTTAATTACGACACAGAGTCTAAAGATAGTCGCAGCTGTGGCTCTGCAATACGTAGCATTTAATGGAACTAAAGTGGATTGACCGTTAGGTAGACGCTCTGCGAATTAAGACAACGCGTGGACTAGCTTGTGGCATCGCCCAGAAGCAATTAACAAAGATGCAGCTGAAGCAGGTACCGCGCTCGATTCTGCCATCACTTGCGCTTGTAAGGGCATTACCATTTCTATTCTAAGGGCTATTCTTTCATTTGTCCCCTGCCCGATTTTTCGTGGCTAAACTGGGACCGCCCATGCGGATTTTCATGTGCTTACAAGACTTGTTACAAGACTACATACCAAAGCTCCACAGTTTCAAAAGGAAGCAGGCCCGACTCCGAAATATACGAGCGGGAGCAGGTCTAACCTCGCGGGTTGAAACAGGCGTATTTACCGGCGAAAACTGACTCGGCAAGCATCTCTGCATGCTTAAAGAGGATGCACTATTGAACACTATTTTTTTATTTATGATTTTGGACCCCACCCAAATATCAACTGTTGCTTGTTACCGTACGCGCATGAGATTAAGCTTCCTAGTGGACTTAGATCTAGTGGTGCAATCGGGATCGAGAGAGATGCGTTACTATTGGGTTCCGGTAGAACTCTCTGGCGTCCTTTTATGCTTTGGTGATAGTCAATTAGGTACTCTTTTCACTCAGCTAGTGCTGACTCAGAAGGTGATTTCCGGTAATGACTCAGGAGTAGGAAGCTTCCGAATGTTCTAGGGGCTTTACAAAATAGATATATTCTATATGACAGAAGAAGGCGGAAAATCTCAAACCAGAGTACATGAAACACGTTTAGGAGACAGTCGGGCATCCACTATGCGGCGGTCTAGTCTAGCCTATAGTTCCGATGGTATGGAAAGGCTGGGCTCTGTGGTAGTTGAGAATTGTAATATACTCAGGAAACTATTTCATACGGCGGTTCTGCTCAGCACGTCTAAAATGGAGGACTTCGGCGACTTAAACCACTTTTTCGTCTTAAGGCTTAAAAACCCCCGGGTGGAAAGACGCGGAACGTTGCTATGTTGCGAAATGTGGCGGTGTACATACCGCCGGTCGGGAATCGGCAGCTACAGATCGAAAAGGCGGCTCCCGGTATTGTTCGAGAGGTTACATCCGCGCTATCACCAACCTTTTATTATTATGAGTCAAGCGGTCTTACACTGGAAACGGGTTGGCACATTCCTCGCCCGATAGCATAGTAAATGGAGAGACATGCTCGGAACTTTAATGCAAAAGTGCAGGCAGTAAATGTAACCTGGTTTCGTATGAGCTAGGTGGTCAAGTTGTACTAAGCCAATGGCAAGTTTATCCTTTGTAGTAAGACGCTTGCCTTGTTTTTCTGGCCAACTAACGCCTTGCTGGTTTATGGCCTGATCGTTTCGTCTCGTCGATGGCCATCGGGGTTCTGCCACTCCACCAGTTCATATATGGTATTTAATCGCTCGAAAATTGAGTATGCTGTCATACATAGAAGTCTTTAAAAACGTTGTATGAACTAAAAAATTTAAAAACTAATGATGAGAAAATAAATAAAAATGCGTTAAAAAATGAATATGTATATATATATATGTTGTTGAAAAGCTGGTTACTTGCTCTATAAGCCTTACAAGAGCCAAGTTTTTGCCGGGTTTTACCTCAAGCTCAAATCCGTATTGGATGTACGATTTTTTAAGACCCGAAAAATGTTGATAGCTCATGAAAAAAAACTTTACTTGAGGTTAAAAACGACTATACACAATAATAAACCAAAACTGACTAAAAAGCAAACAGTAAATAAAAAGATTTTGGAAAGAAAACTCAAAAAAAAACATTTGCTCCAAAGCAGGGAACTTCTCCTGGAAATATAGGTACTTCATGTTACTTAGTTTTTGATACTGAAATGTGTTAAAATTGATCTTCAAAAGGCCAACACAGGATTTTGCATAGTATTTTTCACCTGGCGTTTGTTATCTGATTCGAATCACCGCTAGGTACGTTCTTGCGCTATCCATTGTGCGAATTATTCCGTTTCATCCCGCTCTGTATTCCCTTATATATGAATAATGGATTATTGTCACCCTAGTCATACGAAACTTGACAACTAACTTTATGACACAGATAACTACCTGAGTCATGAGTAAACAAAGATTCCCGGCTATCCAACACGAGCTCATACCCGAATTGCCAAACTGGCAGACGCTCAAGATATTCAATTAAATATATGCAATCTTATTATCGAAAAAGCAGTACCTAACGTGATCTCTCTCTCTCTCTGAATGCATTGCCAACGATCCTGTTACGTTCTCGTTGAGCCGGCGTACTAACTCTACGTTAAACCTATTTTATGCTTGTGACATCCTTTCCTTAGTGAGTCATTTCGTTTTTGTCTATGAACTCATTCTTTACTCATAGATATACGTGCACTAATTGGCTTACAACAATGTAGTGAAGATAAATTGCTTACAATCACAGTTGGTCCAATATGGCGGGGCTTCATTCTTTTTCCCAGAACGCTCCAGCGGTATGGCGTAAAGCTTCTGTAGTCAATTGAAGGCAATCAGAATAAGTCTATGATCGCTTAAAATAGGCCTATATGTATAGACGATTTAGGGAAAATGGCTACACATTTTTTCTCTGATATCATCTATTTAGAGTCATTTACATGCGCATCTGTGTTGATAGCGTGTTATTTGTTTGATGGATAACAGAAAACCTTCTGAATCAAGGCCCTTCGGCTTCGGATATCATAAATTCAAATAAATTTGCTTAGTTATGTCCTTTCTCGTCTGATCGCTTATCCACAGATAACTGAAATTGGGTCGCGGTTAAATGTTCTGACTGCGTTGTATAATATACCTCGATCTGCATTGAAACCAGCTTATGTAAATAGAATGATCTTCATTATGCCCTTTGAAACCTTAACGCGAAAGATAAAATCAAAGCTAGCCTACCCGAACAACTATTAGTACGGACCCTCATTCATCTCAAAGGTGTCGTACACATTGTGCGTCGATTGATCTGGCTTTCCCTCTTTCTTTCCTGAGAAAAGGAAAAATAGTTGACAGTTATCAGGTGCTATAAATAACGGGACCAATTGTAAATTGCGCTTACCATAGATAAGCAAGGAAATCGTCATCTCACTTGTATCATATTGACAGTCTAGTCTGGCTTCTTTCAACGTCTAGCAATTATTCGTGCGCGCGGTTAGGCCTAAAATACGATAATAAATAGAAATATGATGTTCGTTGGAAAGGACTGGACCCATTGATTGCTCTCATCAGAGCAAACTTTCGACCGTAACATAGTTGAAGTTCCTCGATTTCAGCATTATCTATACATATGAATAGCTTCCTTTAGATAACCGTATCAGTCGAAGGAAAGCGTAAAAGGAAGCGTACTTGGTTGTCATACTTTGAACGAACATGAATAGATAGCTTCAACTGTAATAGCAGTAATTTTCCCTTTTTCTAGTTTATTAATGGACAGGCGTATTAGCCAGATATATTTATTTTTCTTTTCCCAATATGCAATCCAGTTAAATTTGTTTCCGTTAATGGTTCTGAAAAAAGGTGTTCTTCGAAGCCTAAGCATAAGAGGGTTGCTTACAGTTCTAAAATCAAGCCGAGCGTTTTTATTGTGCGTCTGTTTTATGGCCATATTGAAATTTTGCTTACCTTCATCAACAAACGTAGCTCAACAATAGCGTGGCGTTTTTGAGTGAAATGTCGCTTACGCAAACAAACCCACGACTTATTTGTACATTACCCTCTGATTACAGTGTAGCATACCTATTTGATTTTCGCTAGCTGGATCCGTGTCGATGCTGCAAATTGCTTGACAGAGTCGCACTAAACGTCTTGGTCGTGATTTCAGTTAGCGCGCATGTATGAGAAGTAACTTGGGGTTCTCGCACCGTGCTGGACCTAACTGTTACTTAAGTTAGTAGCAGAGGTCTTTGAAAAGAAAAAAACATACAGCGTGAAAAACGGAAATAGCAAAGAAGCTAGATTACGTGTAACCGCGGTAGCTTCTTCATCCGTCTTTCTAGGTTTCATGTCCTGCGTTGTGTTAGTGAATTCAATTAGTACAGGCATCTCCGTTAAGCAAACCTCTTTTATGAAGGACTTTGCAAGAAAGCTTCTAAGTGTAATTTAGCGTTCCTTTCAAATTCAAATGGCCGACTAAGCGATCCGTATCTCTCTTAAGTGTATATTGTCTGCTAGAAAATTCTACCTATTCTCAGGCAATGTTATCCTTCGGTCAGTACTTAATTGATGTGAAACGAACTCAGCGTGTCATAATACGCAATCATGATAATTACGAATCTTACAAGCCGTCGGCCGTGCAGTGGTCGCCTTAATGATTCATGTCATTGCAACTCGAGGCTTTCTGTCGTGATAGACCCCGCAATCAGTGGTTTTCTCTGTAGTGAAAAGGCATTCAGTAATCTGTTCCCGGTAGTTGGAGGAACATTTTTCATACTTCACGTTATCATAATCGCAGTGAAACTTCTGACTCCGTCAGCAGGGTATGATGCGGAGCCGCCTGTTTGGCTGAATTAATTCTCAACACGGGGATACTTTTGAGCGTTATCGTTTGTGCGCGTATCTTCATTCTGATTTCATCGAATAAATATACGATATCGGGCCATCTGAATGAATGAACCCACTCACGATGAATCTGGCTTGACATATTATGGGTTGGTAGTCGTATTTTCGAAAGTCTCATACGCGGCCTCGGTCGCAGTGGCGGATACGTCTCGAAACGTGAGTCTGCGCCACGTTTTATTGTAATCGTTGCTTGTTAAGTCGCACTCATTCTACAGGGCGCTTTAGTCCCGATGAACGGGGCGTTAGTAGACATTTCTATGTTTGGGAACATAGGAGGGAACCTTCTTATTTTAGGGAACGTATTATAGGGAATGATATTTGTTTGTTGATTTTGCACTCAATTAATCAAATATTCGAGCTGGGATAACACCGCTTTATTAATATCGTTGAAGCACGTCTGTCTCTAGGGCTATTCATTGGTGGACTCGCGATAGACCACCTTCCTATATTTACACCGTAGCATTGAATGCTATTCAGAACCGTAGCCTTACTTTTTGTTTTCTACTTAAGCGTCCTTCTATACCATAGGTCGCTTTGCAGGAAACAAGTAAAAGGCTAGGACTAGAAGGAGCTGCAAGCCGAGACGGAGTCCACGGGTACCTCTTTAAGAAATTTAGTTAGCACCGAATTATTACATACACGGATATTAAATCGCAAAGAGGAATACTCTCGCATTATTGGCGGCTACGTTTGTTTATAATAATAATAATAATAAATACAAACAGCAGGTAGTTACATATTTTATGTGAAAATGACAAGATTTTTTAGTGTGTTACGGCTACTATATTCGAAATTATGAGCCCGTTCTCGCATGATAGTTATATAGATATTTTCTAATGACAGAAATGCTTGACAACGAGGCCACATATTCGCGTCTGTGCACCGATCTCAATTTGTAGTATTACTATTTAAAAATTACATTTTAAACTAAAAGCCTGTAATCTATAGGGCTAAAGCATAACATTTCACAGGAAGGACTTTGATCAATTGGTTTTACGCAGCAAGTTTCCTGTGTATCATTTGCGAATGACGCCCTCATTTAATGACGGAAAAGTGTGAAATTTCGAAACGATTTCGTACTTACAAAGCGCTATTTGAAATAGAAAGACCTGATAAAATAATCCCACAAAAAAAAAAAACTTTTAATTTAACTGAGCTTTCTTTAGCGCTAGATTTGATACATATGGAAAAAAAACGTAATGAGTTGCTTGCAACATATGCTATATGTAGAGGAATGTATGAAACACCAACGATTTCTACATTAACGATAATTATTGTGGAGCTATAACTGCCAGTTAGGACTCTGTTGTCATATCAGAACAAAAGTTCCCGTCGAAACAAACAAGTTCTTTATTAGATGCATTGAAATGACGCTGAAGGATGGCGTGACTAATTACATTTCAAAAACATTTCTGCTCATGGTTACTTTAAAAAGTAGATGTTAAGCGTAACTTCTGTTATATACATAACTATAATTAGTGAACTTTGCTATCCACTATCGAAATTTCAATGAAGGACACATTTGGGCTTAAAATTGGTGGAATAGAACCGATCAGTGGGAAATTTCCGTGGTTCATGACATGATCATCTGGTTATCGTTTTTTCAAGCTGTTATCGTTGCTTAACGTTATTGTCCTTGACTATTTTCTCTATATTGTTTTTCATCCTTCGATAAATCAGTTCATACAACTTTGAACATTACGACGGCAACAGTAAACGCTGTAGATGATCGCTTTCACCCATTCTCTCTCTCTCTCTCTCTCTCTCTCTCTCGTTATCTTTTTTCTCCCTATGCTACTACTACAGGATCATTTTTACCTGTAGTAGTAGTAGCATAGTAACCACTAATACATTTGCTTATGTCTAGAGCGTTAATTTCATTCTCCATATCGTCAGACTCTGCCAATGTAAGCTTGTTCTACCGTGCGGAAGCTGCTTCCTGTCTTTTGCCCTTATAGTCCTACGTGTTTCTAAGCTGCGCTTTCTTTTGTGTCAACCTGCAGTGGAAACGATTTTTCCATACTTTATTACAGTCTGTGCACTTCTGTTATGTTCCAATATAAAATAAAAACAGTAATATTAATAATCATTGCCCTCAGCATATCGCCGCAGTGAATGCTTTTATGCTTTGTCTTCCATTGTCTCTCCACTACTACTTCCCACATTGCTTGTTTCCGTATATATGAACGTTGTCCCTACATTATATATATATATATATATATATATATATATACATACATATATATATACATACATGTTATATTATCGTCGTGCTATCATTTATCCTCGTTATAAATGACGTTAGTACTAATATTAATACTTAGTTATATTTTTGTGTATATATATATATATTATCTAAGACGTTTGGCTGAATCTTGAGTATTGTTATCCGGGGCGGCAGAACCCTCGCTGATTAAAATCTGCTTGGGGCAACCATCGCTTCCTTCCAGTCTTCGTTCTTAAGGCTCCAAACATCGTTGGTCATTTTAAAAACCAATAATCGACGCGCAGTGATCCACACACAGCTGTATTGAGATATATCGACCTGGCACAGGATTCCAGCTCGCGCCGTAACATCAAACTCTAACGAAGCAAAGTGCCCTAAAATCATAAGTCAGACAAGGCCCTCAACTGCCCTTTCGATGGCTAATCGTTCGCAATCATTAATTTAGAAATGCCCTTTCAATCCATAACAGTGGTACACCATACAATGGCGTAGCACGGAAACAGTGGTATACTGTTTCCGATTAGGACACGGGTTTGGTGCCATAGTTTCATCATGCTTGTGACGCTTCGCCTCTACTTTCTTGATTTTACTAATTTTTGGACCTTTGGACTTTACTAATTTTTGCCTAACTAAAACCGAGTCATGTAAAAGAAGAAAATACTAAGTCGCAAGGAAACAATACATTTATGCATATATAACAACGCCCCGTATGCTTAACATATGCAAGTATATGTGTATATAAGCGTGACGCCCTTGCGTTCATTCGTGAACAGGAAAAATAAAACAAGTTTTTCAACTTATTTTCACAGTATATAGTTTAGCAGTTAACCATCCGCTGCGTGTAACCCATCACATACAATCGCTTTAAAATCGGGGCTGTCGGTGTTGTCTCGAGGTCAAGCGATAGGTGAACTTGTCTGGTAGCATTCAATCAAAGGATGCTTGAGAACATCTGTGAGACGCACAGGGTCACAACGAGAAAATGGATCTCCAGAAACACTGCGAAAATATCAGAAGGTGCACAGGGAAAGCACACTGCGTTTCTAATAAATACAGCCGTCAATCCTCATTAGCACAGTTAAGTTATCACCTGCCACGTACACCTTCAGCCAGGACCAGATTGGGCCTGGCTACGACAGCGCTTTCTTGGAAGTTGAACGGTACGCACGAAAGGAAAAGGACGAAAGTTTTATGTATCGCACTATTCTTACGAGCAAAAAAGAAGAGCAATAATAATAACACGTACCGAACGTATTACTGACAGCATACGGTAATTTCGACAGAATAGGCGTATATTTACAAAACAGTTTTAATACGAAGTGCTTCTATGGCCACGCTTATCTGTACCTGTACTATCTCTGCGACTATTGGTCTTTTTTTACTCAAGCGTTGCAGCTCGTGGGTTTCCGTACCCTTTGTTGACCCATTGTTTCTCAACGGATCGCTTTAGTAATGAACCCGTCATTTAAATATTATTCGTCTTACTAATAGTCGCCCTTTTACAAAGACCCATTGCGATACTCATTATTGCCACATTTTCATGGTTGGTTTTGCACCTATTGCCAGTCTACACGTATATCTGTTTCAGCTGTCACAATATTGTTCCTTGAACACCGCCCACCAGTGCCCCTGTCCTCGCAGTGGGGTTTGAAAAGCCTTGTGAACCGCCAGTACTCTGTCGAAATCGTAGATGACGGCCAAATTCTGCTAATAGTTCAGGAGCAAATAGTTACTGTATGTTCAACAAATATGTGAAGCAATAATCAGACATTGGCCCATACGCTACTTATTGATCAGTTGTTGCAAGCCAGACCATAAAACTCGTCAGGATCGTCGTCAGGATTAATCAACAGTGCTGCTTTATGCAACGAATGAGAGAGGCGGTCCACGCAGCGCTTACGGGGCCTCCAGTACGGAGGAGAAACGGTCAGCAAAAATGAAGAATATTGCCCATTGTCTACAGTGGCACATGCTATCAGGACAAGGCGGGCGATAGGCCATGTATAGCGAATATTGGCTGTAGGGAGAGCTCTACATATATGTTCGGGTCTTTGTACGCCACGAACCTAGTGCACGAGATTTTTTGTTTATTTACTGGCTACTACGCGATTGCTATTGTTGGTTATTGGCGGTGATTGGACTAACGCTTACATCAACTTTTACATTTGTCTGCTGCAGACTGCTAGCTAACGAGAGATTTCCCTATTCGGAGATGAAATATAGTATTTCCCCTAACATGTTTTGAATTTTAGGTAAAAATCGTAGAATTTTTCACAATGTTCGGACGTGAAGAAAGAACAGCACTAAAATTAGGTTTTTGTCGTAATGGCATGTGATCCTGGATACCCAGTGTGTGTGTGTGTGTGTGTGTGTGTGTGTGTTGTCTTTTCCGTGGTTGTTTCACTAGATTTGGGTCGTTACAATTTCTACTAGACCTATTGCGTAACTGTCGTATGTGTATACGTGTATCATAAATTAGAACTTTCCTCGTCGCAAATCTCACTCCTCATCTATGCACTATCGTCAATATTAACGAAAGTACGTATTTGCTCGATGCTACCATCGTAATGTTATCATAGATAGGTTCATAGAAATTGCGCCTCTTTCAGATTGTGTGTAATAACAACAATTCGTTTCGCTGTCCCCTGTCTTCTATTTGTTGTTTATATAGACGCTTTGACATTTTCATTATTATCTATGTTACCTACATTTGTATGTTATCACCTGTCTGCTGGTCTCCTTTCGCTTCGTTTTCGCCATTAATTTAGTACCTATATATATATATATATATGTTGAACAGGGGTACACGAGCAGATGTGTTATTGTGTCGTGTTGAGTTTACGCTGAGCAATCTACGCTTTAATAATTTCTGTATGCTGTGCGAAAAAGTTATGTTTTCTGTATATTTTTACTGGTTTTTCAACATCTGTGTCGATCGTTCGTTCCATTGCGTGTGCGTGCGTCGTATATATGGTCACGTAATAAGCGTTATATTATACCGTGCGTCGTTATCGACCGCTCGGCCATGTTTTTGTCCACATAGAATAGTATAATAATGTCGTACCTTTATTTATGGAATATTCACTGTAACCTTTTTTGACTCTTGCCGTCATGACATCCTTTTCCAGTTCGAAGGTGTAAATAATACGATACTGTTTGATCAGTGTTGTATGCTTTTTCTACGTATATTTAAATCTATTCATTTCAACGCATTTCCTCCCTTAACCGCTGACAAAGTTGGTCGCATTATGTACGTGTTCTCACGCTTCAAGCGATTCCGTAAAATTTCCATAGCAAAATTATAGTCATAATAAAAAAAAAAAAGACAAAAAAGCAATTTGATGTGTAGCTGCACGGTGAGAGACAGTATTCTCCTTTGCGTCTCGCGCTTCGCTTTAGTTTTTTTTTTTTTATGGCGCTTTTCGAGCGGGCAGCTGAGTGGGCCGTCTGGAAAGCTTGTCTTATTTGACCGTTATTCTACTATGCCAGTGGAGCTATTCAATATTGAGGACTTTTGATCGATGACCCACGCAGCTCACATCACCTGATCGAATTCGAACTATTCGTCTTCATTGAAGATCTTCATGCTTCTATCTGCAGCCCACTAGAACTGCCCTCATTTGGGACTGACGCTTGTCAGTCACGCGTTCCACGGCTCTTTCCTTATCAACTAGCTAAAGAAAGTTTAGTGTTGGTATCGGCCTTTATATTATGCAAAACATAAATTATGTACGGTATTATCAGTCGCAGCTTCCTGTTGATGAAATTCGTGTTACCCGTACTTAGTTAAGTCAATGAAACTAGTAAAAATCAATCGTTTTAAGCACATCGTCGGAAATTATTGAAGTCTTTGAATTGCATCGCAACAGAGGGGCCTTCACTACATTTACCAGCTTTCTAGCTAGATTTCTGCTAGATGTACAATATACCAGACGTAAATTGCCGTACTACGTTTATTATTTAAAGTTTAATAAAATGCAGTTAAGTACGCTATACTTATTAGTCAAAGCGGAGGCAGCATAGACTTAAAACACGAGGGGATATTTCAGGTGCCCAAAATAATTTCGCTTCCCTTTCCTGTTGATTTACAAAAACTTTGTTGTTGTTGTTGTTGTTGTTGTAGGCATAGTGTTTTTTCGTTCGCATAAATTTTTCTTTGAGACCCGGCCCAGGAGTCCGGTTGAGGCGCAAACCCAACTGTCGGTAGCCGTAAATGGATGGTACAGACGGCGGTCGCTTCCAGCGTCATATCTCCTAGTGTTATCGTTCTTTATGTGCTACCTGATGTTCGCCTTTCTGTATCTATCTGCAATGAGATCGACAAGCCAACAGATCAGGCCAATTGGCCCAGCACAACTCTGTATTAGGATTTTGCCAGTGAATCAGCAGGTTATGGACGTCAGCTCTGTGCCTAACTAGCCGTTTTTTTCGCAAAAAGCTATCTGAATGGTTTAAACAATATCTACGTGGTATGTTCCTGTTCGGTTGATAGTCCACACAAATGAGATGACGTCACCTATAGTACTGTATACCACTCATCACACGTTGTTGCTTTCCCAATGTTTATTATTGTTGTTGTCATCGGCATTTTGTTTCTCTATTTCTTTTGTGTTATTGATGATGTCTTGCATAAATCGAGAGCTATTTTCCGTTGTTGGTTGCTGCTGATGCTCCGGGAGTTGTGTTAGCGGCTGTTGTCGTCGCCGGTGCGGCGGAGGTAGGAAAAGGGCTTGCAGGGGGGCTGGCGCCGAGACTCCTGCCCAGTCCGGAGTCGGAGCTGTTCGAGCTATTGTTTGCGTGGGTGATATGCATTACGCTGCGCTTCGAGCTGCCATACGGCGAAAGCGAACGTAAAGGCGGCACCGGAGACGCGCACGCGCTGCGGCTCGGCCGGCCTCCGCAGCCCTCCTATACATAGCGAAAACAGTAACAGTCAATAGAAAACATTGAGAATCAATAGGCTTTTCATTTACTCATGCCACAGAGCGCATCCGTCAAATACGCTCTGTGATGATATGGTTGGTAGATCAGCGCCGGTGGGAGGCAAAAGAGACGTTTTGGAACGATATTCGCTGTGTTCGGCCTTATAATAGTCTTCCAACTTTTTGCATGCCCGATACACGCACTAGACCATTTGCGGGGATACCCAACGAATACTGTTATTCGAAATATTGCGCATTGTTTTGTTGTTATTGCTTTTGTTGTTGTATAGTTTCTGTTGTGTGTTACAACGCACAAACCTGGAAGTCCGGTGATAAGTACTGTTGCTGTGCATAGTTGTTATGGGTGACGCTGGTAGCTCCGGGCGCGCTATTAGCGGCTGTCAGAAAGGCTGCCGGCGAAGGAAGCGAGGGGGTGGGGCAACGTCGCTCGCACGGAGACGCGTTCCCTGTCAGGCAGCTGAACGAAATGCGATAAATACGCACCGGCTTCAAACCACTGCCTCCAACCGCCGCGCCTCCATCTACGCCCCCGTTTGAACCCGTACTACCTGTCGCTGTAAAAGGAAAAAGAAAGCCAAACGAATCGTAGGTGCCCAAAACGATATTTAAAATATCTAGCTAATTAAGGAGCTATATGTTTGTACTAAATACTAATATAGAGTGGGTATACCGTAACTCGTGATTATAATATAATATATATATTCGTAATATAATTGTTATTATCAAAAGCTAGCTAGTTAAAGTAGACTATAGTTAAAGTAGTAATAATTATATTACAGGTTGTTGGAAACCAGACCCGTGTTTCCAGGGCAGTTGCGCTTTTATTTACATTCTGCTTACTCTCATCGATCTGTTTTTGCACAGACCATAAGAAACCCAAGTTGCTCTTTCTCGTATTCACTGGCTACTCAATCTCGCGAGGCTGTACATTTACACATCAATATTGAAAAGATATGTGAATTCAACACTATTTTCAGCTAGCATGAATCCTTATTTATATTTATATATAATTTATTTTTTAAGTTCTAAACATTAAAGAAAATAAGTTTCTCGAGTATACACGTTTAGTCCTAGCTAAACAACAGTAGAAGCCATTCCCGAAATTGTTGACATGTATATGCATGTACAAATTTTACTCATCTTAAAATACAACATAGAGGCGCAGAAGGGAAGGCGGCAAGCATAGACTAAGGTCTAAAACGAAAAGCAGTTACCGTTACTTTTGTAGCTAGGAGGCCATCTTGAACTTCGTATGTTGTACGTAGTTCCTATAGCTTATTTTACTATGGAAAGTAGTGGTGAATGTAAACAGCTGCACTGTACACTGTTAGTCAGGTAGCAACATCTTGTATCAAATCTATTGGCATCCCATCATTCTAGATGGGTTAATATTTGTATGACAGTCGCGTTTAGTAACATCGATGGCCGGAGCAGTTGCCTACCTATACGCAATACAGCTTCGATTATAATGCTTACAAAAACACCTTAATTTGCACAGACTGGGTGGAATTTGATGGTGTAGTGATAGCAGTACGTACAATGCGGCGACGAGGGCGGCGACAGCGAGGGGTCTCTGTTGATAGCGCTCAGGTTATTGTTGAACGTAAAGTATTGTCCTTGTTGCCCCATTTGGGCCGTCGGATCATCACGTACTCGATCCTTGCGCACCTAACATTACACGTTGGAATTCGTCGTTATATATTTGTAATTCAACTATAGTCTAGTTCGACTTAGGTTAATGAAGCCGGATAAACTACTTTAACTTGAACACAAGACCCAATTATTATCACTATGCATATAAGTGCTCCATAAGGTAGCTTTTATGAACAAAATAGCAATGACGTTTCAATCGGCGCGCGCAGTTTAAGCATAACTTAGGCATAATCGTAAGTAAGATTCCCACCTGAAAAAACTCAGGCGCCGTTGAGGCAAAAAAGATGTCGCTTTTCGATGCAATGAGTTTCAGTTTTGGCATGGCCATATTATGAACGAGATTTCCATTGATGATCAGGCGAATCTCGATGCTGTCGTAGTTGAAACCCATTATGTACGGAAATACGCAAACTGCAATTATGAGAAACAATTGACACGAATAATAGTTAATTGTGCCATACCCTTCAAAGATGACTGAGATGAGGCCTATGTAGGTATATTTCCACGCAAAACGCTTTCTTCCTCTGCGTAAAATCAGTCACGTATCGCAAGTTGCATACTATTCAACATTCGGGACCACACAACTTTTCATCCGCTCGAAAGTACACACTTCGCATTATTTCTAGTGACAGGATCTATATCTAGTTTTAAACGTAACCCACTTGGGTAAATACGCGTTTAAGCAGACAAGCAGTGGGCAAATGGTTTTTTATGACTCTCACTGCCTTGTTTTCTATGTAGGTCCTGTCCGATAGGCCGATAATAGCAAGTCGAATGCTGAATGCGGATCGAACAGAATCGAACACAGTGTCGGCTTTAGATTGGCTTAATAAAGCCTAATCCTGCCCTGTATTACCACCAGTCGACCACTACATCACTCAATCGTCAATGCTCAACGAGCGACTACGCTAAAGCGGGTAGATACGTACATGACGCTACTTCAGTAAGACAGTTCAGGTGCCAGCGAATCATTTTCGTTGGGCTGGAACTCGATATTATTCAACGTTCTGGTCAATCATGGGCCGTGTGCTGGTAAAAAGCAGTAACAACCGCGGCCTGTTTGCCCCCTTAGGCATTCTATAATAAATGTGAAGGGATTTATGAGGGACGCAAGTGGCCAGTTTTTATAATACGACCCGGCTGACGCGAACGACGACCGGTAAGTGGAGGAAGCGAAAGAGAGACCTACTATTAACCAGCTCAAATATATTTATTTGTGCATAATATGGTTCTAATTACGTCGGCAGTGTGTTGAACGCGTAGAGTATTACCTAGCAGAGTGATAGCTAGAGAGAGACCAATATTGATACACAGTCCTGTATATAAATTAGCATATACGTCTATATTATAATATAGTAAATATGATCACTTAGCAAAACCGTTTGGGTAGACAAGTAGACAACCAGTTAGCATGTGAAGTATGAATTCGCACCTCTATATTGAGTTTTATACATATAATCATCGCATAGCAGTCGGAAAAATAACCCTGACGGTTGTCGATTGGGCACTGTATATCGCACTTAAGGATGCCGCCATCGAAAATAGGGATAGGCATATGGGGTTATGTCGTGGACATTAGTACGTGCCGTGCATCAACGCAAAACAATGCCTATGGAACAAATAGAAGAAACAGGAAGAACAATAACGTACCGACTCCTTCAGGCATCGCGTTCCATTGAAAGTTAAATGTATTGATTGTCTCCTCTTGCAATTTCTGGAAGTGCGTTGTATCTGTAATACACGAAACAGCGGAATAAAGCAGAGGCCGGACGTTCTATAGTACTTGATAAGCATAAATTAAATAGGCGTAATCTATCTTTTACTAATGTTAGCCTGGCTTCTAGCGTGAATCCAATTCCAAGAGATTTTCGCCGAATCACGCGGAAGGAACGAACGGATGGGGCGAATCTATGCCTAAGTTGCGATATATTTAAAAACAGCAAAACTAAACCGGGTACTACTAGTAGTTGAGGAACTTACGAACAATTAGCGGGCAATTATGTTGGAGTTTTTCGATACTACGAGAAAAGTTCTGCGGCGGCACTTTTACAAGAACTGTTTGGTTGGGCCTGCGTGATGTCATAGGATATTTCTTGATGTTTTTTTTTTGACATGTAGATGATAATACTCAGATAGCTAATTTCCGGTTTATCAAGTGAGCACAGGAAAATATGGCCTACTAAGAAGTTTTGAGGTGGTTTGTCTATACTCGTTCATATTGCATAAACTGACTGAGATGTCTCCTTACCTAATCTTACTGGAAAATGTAAGTTGGGGCTATTATATATGAACGTGGCTCACGCGCCTTGGGGTTTCGGTATTGAACAGTTTTCCCAGAGCTGGCCCAACGAAGAAGCCATTTGCATCTACTAGATATCGAAATTTAGTTACTCATTTAACACTTGAGCCAACTGTTACCACGACGTTTTTAAGGCGCGGCGCTTGACTATAGCTCTTAACTTCAAGCACAGTTAATATCGTTAAGCCGTACGAAAATCGTATACTGATCTAATTTTCACTTGCCAAAATAATCCTTCATTTTTGAAGGAGCTTGAGCTATTTCGAGAATTTCCAGAAATGTGGCCTTATCAGGTTAGTCTGTAATTATCGTGAGGTCGAGTTTGTCGACAGCCCAATGGATTAGACCGGTCTTCAGTTAAACACTTCATGGCCAAAGGATTTCATGAACTATATATAGTTCGCTACACTCAGCCGCAGTAAGAAGCTACGCATACTCCCATGCTTTTGTGTAACTGAATGTAAATGTCTTCCATTGTCACCACCAGTTTCGGAGGAATGGCAAGAAACACAGGGAAAACCTCAGAGGCATGCACCTCATACAACTAATTCATAGCCAGAGACTGGAGTCACGCGCTCAGTCTGTCTGCTTAGTGTAAGATCTAAACAAACCTTCAATGTAAAGTACATCAATAGTTAATCTTCATTTTCAATCAGTTTTAGAATACGAAATTAATAGATTTCACGTACTAAACCTGTATGCGCTAACTATTGACTGAAGCTGAAGCGGGACAATGAAACATCATCCCGTTAAGGTACGGCTAGCCGAGTCAAATGTACCACAATTCGAAGGGTGTCTCGCTGTTTTCAAAAAATCTTCGTTTAACTACTATTGGCCCCCTCTAGCGTTCGGGCTCGAAATCCGATCCGTACATTGCCTCACATCGGTTAGGCAACAACTTTCCTCCATCAATTCTGTGATTAGGCCCTGTCCGGCCTTGAACACAGATAAGTAAGAGAAAGTGGCGACCGATTTCAATTATGAAACCCAGGATAAGAATTAAGATATAAATTGGTGTAGTTTTTAAATCTTCGAAAAGTAAGGAAAACGAAAAATGTTCGAGTACATTTTTGGTTTTCCTCACTTTTAAAGACCATCTCTAAAACGAGATAGCCTTCCTTTTTGAGCGTGGGAAATTTTCTAGTAGTATTATATGAGTTTTTTTTTCACAGATAAACAGGAGTGCTAACTAACCTACGAGGAACGAGCTAGAGCTAAAATTAATTAGAGTTTAATTAATTCTAATTGAAGTTTTCGTGAAACAAAACTGTTAAAGTCGTGTCAACGGTGAGTCTGGCTGATGTATCTGCGGACTGGGATTCTCATGCATAGCAGCGTATGTTGCTCAAAACACTATTCACCTTACAATGGCACTTGCAGTACGTTCTTGCAAGCTTTTGTTCTTGCATTATCTAAAACAAATCACTTACGGTTGTAGCAAAGTAGTAGCTCGGCCTCATCATCTTCGTAGATGTCTAACGCGGCAACAAGATGAAGACGTTCCACTTTGTCAAGATTGTGAAGCCGCACAATCTCGCCTGTCTTTTCGTTGATCAGATCGAACTGATGGCGATACCCCACGCAGATCTGGTTATCAGCACCGGGTCGTGGAGTGTCGACCAGAGTACAAATCACGGGTGCCTCGTTTACGTTCAACTCCTAACGAAAGCAACGATAGCAGCCATTTCAACAAGCGTCAAATATCAGAATGTACGCAGTGCGTATACATATATGTGAAGTCTTATGGCGGTTATGTGCTAACATTATGTGCTCCAGAAGTCAATAAAGTTCAAAATTTGATTCGGAGCCCGAGTTTTACCACTGAATCTACGGGTTATTGCAAAAAAAAATAAGCACACTTGCAGTAAGCTATGTTGATCTGCGCGCCGCAATAGGAAACAGATATATCCATGACAACATAGATTTGTTGGCAATGACCGAATGCTTCGGCACCACACGAATCTGTGGTCGTTACGGTGTGTAGAAGCGCCCATTTGTTCAACGACATTAGCTCAAGCTTAGTCGTATTACTATTTTCATGTAAAATGGAGATCAATTCTACACGAATATTGGCAAGCACTTTACCGCGTTTTAGGTAGACGTCTTTAGTGACTTGTGTTTCTGACAATGCGTCGTACTTTCTTCGTAACTATATTTTTATTATATATAATACGTAATTAATTCGGTGTTAGACGATCGCGCAAAATGGCTTAATTCAACTTGTCGCTCGCAGTCCGACCTGGGCTAAGAGAAATCACCCCTTGTCGACGTAGCGAGAATGGACACTTAACGAAGAAAGAGTTCTTATCGATATGAAATTAGTCAATCTGCATATTTATAGAATTTCAGATGTTCCGTTCAGATGTCAGATTTTGTTGCCATTCTGATTTCATTTAAAGAAGGTATGTTGTCGGCTGAGTCGTTTGGGGGGTAAAGTCTCCATGCAGGTATTCTAGAGGACATCGGATCATTTCCACATAGGCCATGGCGCTGCAAGCCTGATACTTGCTGACAAAATGTATGAAAAAGCACTGCTGTGCCTTACACTTACTCGAACGAGCTGAAAGCCGTCGATCGTATCGGTGTCAGAAGCGGCGCACCAAGTTGTCCAGGCTGCTGAGTGGCGCCACTGCATCAGAAGTAGCTTCCGACTGATACAAACTGCCATCCTCAAGTGACTGCCACCGGGGCGGCTTAACGAGTATAGGTGGCATCCCTTCGTACGCTCCAGACGGTGCTCTGTAAATCGGTAAACCGGAGATGGACAGTCTCTTTTATTTCTATACACCCCAAGAACCTGTACAAATTCAAAATTTCGTATCGATCTTAGCAAAGGCCCCAAGCTATACAAGTATCTGCCAAACGTAAAGGTTATTGGCATAAATTCATTGCATAATTATCTGACTGATAAGCGGAACTGGATCGTGCTGTCTGCCCAACGCTAGCATGGAAACTTCGTATATTTAAGTTTCGAAATCAGCCTCGTGCCCCACAGTCTTCCCATACTCTGTATTTTTTTGACTTTAACGACTATGACAAAACTTAAGATACAACGCGTATGAGCGCGCATAAACGAGGTTGGTCTAGATAATGTTGAAGACATAAACCTCGAATATCTCAGACCCGCACGATTGTTCTTGAGTAGTTCTCACGAAATGTACCCCATGCTAAATGAGAGCATCTATGTATACTTAAAGATTCAAAATTCTCTATTGCTGAAAATTGCATCAGTGAAATGTCAACTTATATATATATATATATATATATATATATATTTATAGAGGGAAATTGCCTGTATTCCTTCACTGTCATAAAATATAAAGTAAAATCCTATATCAATCAAGCTGATTAACGTTTGTTTGCCATGCCATCTGACAAAAGCAATAAAAATGATTTTGATATTTTGTGGTAGATTTGTACGTACCTCTTTCGCTGCATTTATTCTATATTTGTGTTTTGAGGTCAGTAAGAATTTATTTTTTGATAGGTCACAAGGAGTTTTACTTCTAGGTTGTACCGTACTATTGGGCTCTACCTAGTGTTTTCTACCTAAAGTATACGCGAAATTTGCACTTCCTTTTATCATTGGCTTTGCTTACCAAAATTTTACTTTTGATTTTAGACGCATTCTTTTATCGATTCAAAGTAAGTCTCCGGAAAACATTGCCGTTTGCCTATGTCCTTTCCGCTCACGTCCTTCTTTGAGCCTCATAACCTTCGTCACACGCACGGAGAGCGGCTAAGGATGTCTAAACAGACATTTCTAAATAGATCGACGTTGATATGACACACACACTCCGAAATAATATTTGTACAGATTGTAAAATACGCCCACTCCGAATAGAAGCCGACTCACTGATCTTCCGACGATTTTCTACCGTGAAAAAATATTAGCTTGGCATTGTTCGATTCACACCCCCTGCATCTGCATGATCCCACGTCATGTTTTTTCTAACAATCGTCAAGCTATGTATAGATTCAGGACCTAAGTGAAGTGAAACGGGCCAACGTGGCTCAGTTGGGCCTGTTTTCTCTCTTCTTCATTAGAGGTTTGTAACAGCACTTCTAAGTAGATTAGCTATTTTTAAATTGGCTCTTTTGTCGAAGATCGGAAGGGAACTGCTTAAAATTGGGAATCAAACGAGGGAAGCTCAGCCTGTTCGGCCAAACCCCTATTGCTGTTCCTGTTGCTTAATCCATGTGAAAAAAGCAAACCGCAGAGCGTATCCGTCAAAAAAATATAATGTATTTTTTTTTACAATAATTTTATTAGCATGAAATACTGCTTATGGTATATTATTTGAGATAATTAATTAGTTTACGAATTTAACAGGCTAACATGACTGAACCTATTGGACCATATTGGTCTTTATAAGCGGCAAATTAAGCGACTTTTTCTTTTGGACGGAAATTAATTCCTCGTTCGATTCATTAGAAAGATTCATGATCTTGACAACCTCATAGACCAGCATTTACGCTATATATGTTTAGCTTTTCATCTAATTAGATCGAGTGCCAACTGAGGACTGCGACGGAATGGAATTTCCTCTATCCTTTTAGCGATTGCTGTAACTCTGGTTAATGTTTAGTTGCAAGTCGGGTTGTGACCCCTTACCGTTAATAAACCTAAAACACGCCGTTCAAGGGGCTATCAACACGAAAATATCTGCATTCATTTTCCCGTCCCCACCCTACTGAACGTGATCGTCGATGGTCATAAAATGTGTCCAGCCCATGGTTACTCACCTCTGAGATCATGGCGCGTCTTGACAGCGCCGAATGATAGATCGATCTCAAAGTCGGATAAGCGGAATACGTGGACACGCGAGTCCCGACCTCGGTCCGTGCGTAGTAGCAGGATGCCATGAGCTTCCACAACAGATAACTGCTTCACTTGAACACTTTTGTCAAAGATTTGCCGATGCTGAAGACCCTCTGAAAACAAAACGACAGCAAGAAAGTGCTCATGAATATTATACAGTGAAGATATATTGAAAAGATGTATAGGTAATTCGTTGTTCGAAAAAGCTTATGATTTAGAGTTGTTTTTTAGTCGAGTATGAATACAGGAGGAATTAATATCAAACTATCACATTATAATTATGGTATCTTTCGACGATATCGAAATATAAATGTCTGGAAGTGACGTTGCTCGTCAGACAACATAATGTTTACCTCATTGAACACGTTCAAGTTGTGTTAACTTGACACGAATATGCGTACGATCTGTATTAGATCGGACAGATTGGCAGTAGCTTTGTGGGTAATTCTTATTGCGTATAATGCAATTCTAACCCCGTACTCGTTTCCACACGAACTGTGAATTTTCCTGGATTTTGTGTGTTACATTTTACTAAGTGTATCCTGTTAATGATTCTCAACAAGACACTCTTCTAACAACAATATATTAAATAAGGTAATAAAGGCGATGATAGGTACGGTGAATGCAGATCAGATCTGTATATTGTCCAAAAAGTGCCTCCTGTCACGTCTCAAGCGACTTTCGGAAACCAGCATGTTCTGTCATGCAACAGCGACCCATTTGCATGAATTCTTTTTCGCGTTCTCTCACTGGCTTCCGTTTCTTTCATCCTCTTCCATGCGTTATACATTTTTTCAGCCCACGTTCCTTTCGTACTCCACTAACGACAATGTATATCCCATACGAGTAAAGCGTAACTGCAGAGCTCGCAAGTGTAAAGATAACGGGTGTTTGAGCGTCCCCTGTGCCTCCGAGTCGGTAGGACTGAACCCTTCTCTGAGCCGCTGCTTGGTAATTCGTAATTGCGCTTTCGAACTGTTTCGTATTGCGCCTGTTTCCCGACACTTATAACAAGCGGTTGTATTTTACATGTACGTCTCGCCGGCAGGGCTTGGGGCACATGAATGCGGCTAGGGTTGGTGATCGAGCGGGAAGTCGGCAGCAAAGGGAGTGTCGGGGGCAGAGAAGTTTCATTCGCTTGTTCGTTGTCTCTCTATAGTCGAAGTCCCATTTTACGGCTGCCGGAGCAGCAGCTACAGACCAAATGTACGAATAAGTGACTGAGTCCGACGGCCCCTGATGACGCAACGGTACGCGCACTTATACGAGTACACGGACACGGCAACAAAATGAATTTGGCAGGTTGGTTGATTGCTTGTGTTGTCCTTCATTGGCGAATAGCGGCGACCAACGATATTCGCTGGTCCTACAGCTACCACTATATTAATATACTAGGCATAGCTATAGCTACTTGTTATTTATATTGTTTATTTTGTTCTTTGTGTTCTTTGCCAGTTGCGGCGATGATAGGGGTGGTGACCATAGTTGTCTTGCGGCTTCTTCAAGGTTAGAACGCGTGTAGGCGTGAACCGATAGCGCTGCCTTTCAGTCTTTGCTGGCTAAAGCTTGAACGTTTGCGCCCGCCGCCGTTGTCGACGTTGCCGTGACAGCATCGCCGACAAGTGCTGTTTTTGTTCTTGCTGCAACAAGATGCGCCATGTTATAGCGTGTGCAAATTATCTCTGAAGTCTACCTCTGTATAGCACTGAAAGTGGGCGCTATTGCTGTCGTTGCAGCTATTTCTGTGCCTAAATAATATGATGTCTTCTATCAAAAGACAGCTAACTAAAGACGACTGAGAACTTTGGCGCTACTGCTGTTCCCGCTATTATTCAAAATTGTTTTCGTCAAACAAACAGATACACAAGTAAATCTTTCGGCCTGTTTATTTTTCCCTTCTCCTAGGCCCGCGTGTGTTGCATAAAATTCAGCACGTAGAAGTATTAGCATGATAAAAAGTACAAAAAATGAGGTTTAGCGGATGCTCGCTATGACTACATGTTTGGTTCAAGCACAAATGCAGCTGGTCGTACCTCTACAGTTGGGTAATAATACTATATACAACGAAACGTACACCAAGAGGTTGAGAAACAGGTGAAAAGCTGCAGAGTAGCAATCCCGTAAGTAACCCATAGGTACCGATAACCCATTTTGAAAAATAGATGGTGATGAATTTTTGCGTATTATGAATGAATGATTGAACGACTGGCGCGTACGCACTGTGCTATATATTATAAGAGCATTGTAACCCATTGGAAATAAGCAGGCGACTCAATATAAGCACATATGAATTTCGTCCCGGTTTACATACACACCCTGTATTTTTTTTAAGATTTGTAGATTTTTCTGCAGAATTTGTCATTTCATTAGTAAATGCTAACGATTAAAGATGACATTTGCATAGCTCCTTGTAGGAATAGTTTCATAAAGTCGCAACGCTCATCGTATACAGCGGTTTACAGTACAGGCCTTGTACGATAGTTACATAATAATAGATGGGCAAGATGGAAGGTCACATGTAGACGGCGATGTTTGCGAGGATCAGTTATGCCAACACATTTAACTGGAAAGTCATAGCCTTTATTGTAAAGAAAATGTATGAATCGTCATGTTTAATTGCTCAGCCACCCGGTCGTAGCATTCTGTTCGATCACCTATCGTCAACTAAACTGTATTTGCTCTTGATGATGTTTTCGCGGCAACGTAGGTCAATGCGCTGTGAAAGAGACTACAGGCGGTCTGGTCTCTAGGGTAGGTGTTGATTCTGGATAAAATAAGAACACATTTAGTATTCACGTACCTTCGATAATATATATCCCAGCTTCTGTTGCGAGAACTAACCGCTTTTCAGCCCAGGAATCACCACAGATAACTTCGTGCGGGAAGTCCGGGTAAAAACAGTGTGGTTCCCAAGGCTCCCGTTTGAACAGAGACGTTGTTGCTAGCGATGTGGGTGCGTCGCCTTTTACGATCGTGTCCAGCTGAACAATACAAGCAATCATTATAGACCAAAAAGCGAACGTAATAAGAAGGGTAAGTTAATCGTAAGGCAATCATGCTGACGAAAAACCACTTATTTATTATTATAAATATTATAGCGTTCAATACATTTTAAACGGAATAATATTGTACGTAGAAAATGTCGTTTAGCTCAAACTGTTTAAAATTTAGCTTAAATTTGCTTCCTTTTTCACTGGAACACGCTCGACTTCTATCTGCTGCGACCGTTCGTAATATACGAGCTAAAACCAAGCAATCATCACAGTTTACTTCTGCACGAAGCTGCACATAAATCAGCTGTGTGGCAAATTGTTTTTCGACCTAAAGGACATGCTCGAACTGCTAAACGTTTACGGCAAAAAATTACGTAGAACTTTTGACTCGGAGCTGAGAGCGGAACGGACGGATGAGACCAAACACGCCAAGCAATCAATGTATCTACTAATAAAGGCTTTACTGGCTGATGAGGGCCTTTTTAGTTTTTCTTCTCAGTCGAGAAAGCATGAGCTTTCCTTGGTGCCTAGAAAGATAGCGGCAAAGTTAATAATTGGTTAATAACTGGCGAAGCACATGAATGGGCAGGCAGAGATTTCCATATTTTCTTCAGATTCACTTCCGAGTCTCTAAGCTCTGACAGCTGTTCGGGCCTTCTTTGCAGGTTCTAGTCAGACTCTTTTTCGTTGTACGCACCTTCCGATTGTAGTACTATGCTCAAAGCAGTAGACCACGCACACTAAGAAATCGTGTTCGACTTAACCGATTTTTATCCTCAGGGGCTCTGGCAGCTGGTTACAGCCGTTCAGCGACTTTGGGTAGTGGTATTAATAGCAGAATAAGTTGTGGCAGTAAGATGGTAAAATCGTTAGTGCTTTTCCATCGGAGATAGGTGAAGGCACAGAGCGATCTGGCAGTAAGCCGCTCTCTCAGCACTAGAAAAACGCGATATACATGATACTTACTTTCAGTGCTTGTCCGATGCGGACGAACTCCACCTGGCGAGCCTCCTCTTTCCTTCGGGATCCTCGAGGGGTTTCGGGAAGGACATCGGAGAACGCCCGCCGGTTCAACATCGTCTGAAATGACAAATCGGACCACAATTCTTCAGATAAGTTTGTTATAATTGAGCGGACTTCTGGCGAATAAGACAAAGTTATTCGTTGGGTTATAGTTGTGCAAGCTCACTCGCTGTTGGAGTTCTGATACTCTTGCTAAATGATGCTTTATACTTATTTTGTGACACATGCTACAATGTATCACAATGATATCGGCGATAACATAGATGTCAACAAACTAGTCAGTACATAATTTCCATGGTCTTCGCTCGGACTCGGCGTGTTTCCAGTCGCCTCTCGGCTGCAACCTGCTTTATAGCAACTGCCACCATCCCGAGGCGTCGCACTATATAACACCATACCGCAGCACGGAGACGGCACGCCCATCGAAGCTTTCCTTGTCAGCTTACTTATTTAAATAGCAGACCTTATTCCTATACTAATCGAGCTCAGTATCATATCTGGCTAATCGATGTTTTCGACGCTACGGCTGCGAGGAAACATTGAAGCAAATTCGAAGTATCAATGCGGGCGGACGCGCGGTCGGATGTGGTGGCACTAGGATTGCAAAACGAAATGCTGTTCCGCGTCAGACTTTTTCCCAGGGCGCGACGTTTCCTTGTTTTTTCTGGTTGTTATATATATATATAATCTCCGTTACTTTCGGTGTAAGCGCTTTTTCTTTCCTTCTCTTTTTGCTGTATTTTTCTGACGCTATTTTTACTTTTTTTTTGGTGGCCTCGAAATATACCATTACAGACGGCAAGTTGAACACAAAAGAGTTAAAAGAAAAAGAATAAGAGGACATCAAGGAGGAAATGGTATGGTAACTCCGCTGTCTAATAAAAGCTGCTGCCTCCGTTGCTACCACTATTACTGGCTTTGCTCGGATAATACCCAGCGGGAGTCGTCGCAAGCATCGTCCAGGAAAAAAGTGTCGAGAGTGTCCAATACGAAAACGAGTAGTTTGCGGGTAATCATGCTTACTTGCTATCTTTCTCCATGCTTTCTTCTTTCCTCTGAGATGATCTGCCTCTTGAGGGCTTTTCGATAAAGTACAGACGTCGTGGCTGAGAGGAGTTATTGAGATGCATTGGGTGGAGTGCTATCTGAATACTGACCTCGGGATAGTTGCTTACTACATTTTTTCGTGATGAGTTTAGCCTTCTTCCTTGCGTTGGTTTGGACTCGCTTAAGCGAAATGGGCCAGAGGAAAAGCCAACGAACAGTACAATTCGACAAAATGTGGTCAGTCATAGCCGAAGGGAACAGTCAATATTGTATCTCTGATAGGTTATTAAGAAAGGGTACGAGTCATCAGGAGTGAATAGGTAAGAAGAATCGGGGAAATAAGACAAGGATATTCAATCGGTAGCGGGAGAACGACACTGTGGAAAAGGACGGAGGGCCGAAGGTGGATCACTGGACTATGGAGAGCTACGAAACTGACTAGGCTACGACACAGAATTCAAGTCAATGTGTCATAATGCCTAGAACGGCTGTCTCAGTGTATGCGCCTTTCTCGCTGCCGGCGCTCGAGATACAGAGGGATGATAACAGCTGGAGAGGAGCCATGAACCTAGTCCTTAAGGCATAATGGGACCAGCGGGGCCGGGATCGGCGTATATACTTGAACGTAACCAAAACCTACGTAAGCAATCCACCGAAGACACGACGGATGGCAGGCAGCGCGAAGCTAACGGGATAGCTGTCGAAAGCAATTCGATGGGAGAATTAACCGATGAACGTTATCGCTCCTTTCATCGTCGGCAATCGAACGACTGAGAGTAGTCATTTCCTTCGTCACCCTAAAGCGACAGGCGCCAGCGAATGAAAACTGAAGACGGATTATTATCGACCTTCACAGCAGTAAAGGCTGGTCAGTGAGAAAGAATATTGCAGCTTGCTCAATTAATGAGTTGGCTGTAGTCGGTCAGTTAGTCAATCAGTTCCCACACAATTCGTCCTACTGCCATACTTGTACTGCGGCTTTTTTCTACACTCCGGTGTCTGACATCGTTGTTCAACCAGGGATCGGCTGAGCAGTTAAGCAAGAGTGTACATGCCGGCCTTCGACGATGTGTATCATTGTTAGTAACCTTCAATCAAACACGAAGCTGTCTAGCAGATAGCCACATAGTGCAGTAGGCACCGGCAGCAGCGTGTTAGCTAAGCACAATGGGCAGGTAATATCTGGATACAATATCCACCGTCATTATGAAACGACGGTTTCATAGATGTAGGCTCTCGTACGATTAATAGGGTGTGCCACAAAAGTGCAGTATGACAAGTTACGTCACAGAATAAGCTAGTACGATACCAAGCTATTGGTCTGTAGTTAAGCTAACCACCGCATTAAACGGGAACTGTCATATTTAGGATATACACTGCTATATATGATTCGTTAGACCACCAAACATCGGGCGGTATGTGCAATGACAAAATGTGCTAGACTGAGTTAGATCGGACTATATTAGAGTGTGTCTAGTTGTTAATTAGCAAAGTGGACGACGTCCATTGTATCGGAACCGTGGTGAAGGTCACGGCGCAGGTGTCGTTATGTCACACAGAGAAAAGGCCGAAATAAGGATAAATAGGAGGAACAGATGAATATCAACGACCATTCGAAGGACACTGTTTCGTGTGCTACTGCAACTAGTATTACTTGCGTATGCAAGAGCTGAATGGAAGTGGAAGCGGGTAGACGTTACCCCTGGTCGCTGCGTATACCGCTGCTGCTTCAACTATGATTGTTGCAAGAGGAAGACCCAATATATCGAACGAACTAACTAGACGATAACCGCAATGAGTGGGGTAGCGGGATAGTCGATAAAGCTCTTCACGGTTGGGCTTAGTCGCCCCTGTGGACAAGCGAACGTATGTGAACCTGCCTAATCGCAGTGTGTCAATGGTGTATGTGTATTCCTACAAATAACGACGAAAACCGAAAGCGGTCGAATAAGTGCCGCGATGCGCTGCTTGTCTCGTTCGAATAGATGGCCGGCCCCTTATTTTTCGAGCTTGCTGCATTTAGAATAGGGTCACCATTTTTCATGTCATTGATTTAGCTTTGTTGGCGTGTAGTAGGCTTTACTGGTTACATTAGTCGGTTCATCACGCTAGATTCTTTTATATGATTATAAAAGGGAATTTTAAGTTAACGGGTAAAGAAGCCGAGCTTTGATCTAATTAGTTTAACAAATCTGGATAATCACGTCAGACTCCTTTATATTCACTGACCCTTATTGTATGTAAATAATATTAACATGCCGCTTCTGTCACGAATTAATAAGCTTCCCGCCATGTTCAACGTTTGCATCAACCACTGACCCGTTACCACTGCACTATTGGTACAACCGACTGCGATTCATACTGTTTAATAGCAAAAGTTTTCCACTGTCCTATTCAGTGCAAAAAATTATAGTGCTTTTAGCGTCAGGTAGCAGTATGGGTGTAATAATTAAGAGTCAGCCGTCGTTGTTTGTTTACTACTCTGAAAGAGGTATCTAGGAACAGCATGGAGGGACGGCACCCGCAGATATACTTACCCCTCGGTCAGATATGTGCTCGTGATAAAGGTCCTTGATGAGCATGTCCAGGGTACGTTCCCTCTTTTGTGCGAAGATCGGCGTGTTGAACGCTGCCTTCTCGCCGTTGATCACTGAAAAGAGCAAACGTTGCATCAGTTAATTAACCACATGAGTCGTGTAGGTCGACTTTCCATGGCTGAGTTGTTAGGTAGATTCTTCCTTATTCCAGCGGCCTTTCATTAACCGCGCTTCGTCTTGCTGCCAAAGACAGGAAGGACATCAGAGTCCGTTCGGCGGCTGCCAGCTATCTGGCCTCATGCTTGTGCTCAGATGGATACCGTGGCAATAGTTTCGCCGCTGAAATCGGTAATAACTTGCAGATGTCTGCTGATTCTGAGAATTCACTCAGTCGAGTGCGGCCAGAGTTTGGCGTCATAGCAAGTGTCAAGAAAGCACCACGCTTCAATATGCATCTTTATGGAGGGATTAGCTGCACTATTTTCTCTGATGAGCGCCAAGATTCGGTTTCGGTTGTAGGCAGTATATCACACGTATGTATGTAGAATGTATTCATATCAGCTACACAGAAAAGGTTTCTTTTCTAAGTTTTCTACAAACTTCTACAATTCCAAGATACCTACAATTTCATCGGTTTTGTGTCATACACCCAACGTCTCGTAGGCGTACCCTTAAAATGTAGAATGACCTGCAGTTTGGAATGTAGCACTATTTTGCCGACTTACATTTGACGAGCAAAAACTCCCGAAACTCCTGATGATTGTGGAACACGGGCGGACAGGGAAGCGTAGGGCCAAATAATGGAACCGACTCTTCTGAGAAAAGCGAAAGGCGAAACGCATCTTCGCTTTTATCATACGTAATCACCGCGAAGATGTCTGCAAAAATCATATGAAAAAAGACAGCAATGCTTAGACAATAACAGAACAAATATAATTTTAAAAAAAATAAACAGAACTATAATCTCACACACTTCTTTACAAAAATAGTAGAAAAAAAAAGGATAAAACTAGCCTAGGACAAGCGGGTGACAAATGAACGGGCCACACGTAATTAGATCAATTCCTTAGAATCGTACATAAAATTAGTTCGCCGATATATTGCAAATTCCATTTAAAACTATCTTATTAGCTGATTATATTATGGTTATGATATCAACAGTGAAAAGCAAAGTCATTGCTATCAGACGAGATATCCTTCAGCATTCCCTGTATATGCTTACGTGTAAATTGAGACTTTATCATGGATGGCTTAAAATTGATATGGTCCTCGTAGTTTCCTTCCAAATATATGATGTTCACTATATCGTTGCCGATATGCCTTTTTCTCTCCACCTGCAATATCACGACACAATGATGGAGAAGTGAGACTCATGCTATTAGTTAGTGATGCCGCGCTGTCCTAAGGGTTTTAAAGGAGGTTCATGCCCTTGCTTTCGTAAAGGAGTTACTCGGATGCGGATTGCCATCCTCAGGTTATGGCTTGATTTTATTTCTTCGTCCACGATACGGCCTATTTTGCGTTGCTATGCAGTGAGCTTATATAGGATTCGCCTGTGACCTCCTCGTGCTAGGTTTTGGCGTTATACCTTTATTCAGGTAATCAGAATATCTTCCAGCAGCCTATATCCTTAGCGATCATTCCAACAGTGCAATGGTGCAGCTCTACTGCCGCACCAAAAACGCCTCAAGAACCGGCCGTAGGATTCTGCAAACGACGTATTTGGCAGCAAACGGCCACAAACAAATTTCGATCTGCTTGTAGCTAATATAGATAACGAGGGTTCTGACGTCAGGTCTCACAAGCCTGTGCCGCTTATAATATGCTGCTGGCATACGGCAGTATGGAGGCTATGTGCCCATCGAGGCGAATCACCCGGGTGGTACGAGCGGAATGTCCACATACACAACATACATGGTACAGACAGGGGAAAAAAGAGGGCTGTACCAAAACAAACGAGCATCTCGTCGCAAAGAACCTTGTCCACTCATATGACTCGCCCTCTTCCCGCTTTCGCTACGTTGCTGACGACCGTTGTACGTAGAAGCAGAGACACTGGCGATGCCACTAGCAACCACGTACTAGCTATAGCGTTCCTGGGAGAACTTCGCGAGGAGTGAGTGATGTTGTTGCAAAAAGATGCCAATGTTCGAAAGTAAGGCTGCTGATGCCCCTTTGCCGTGCCGCTAGGGCCAGCTGTCTTGGAAAGTAAGCAGCTGCACTTGATCGCGGTAATGGATGGATAGGTACTTCGGGAAAAGGGTCTGGATGTTGATGGAAGGTGGATTACCGAAAGCAAAGAGTAAAGAGCGAACAGCGTACGGCAGACACAAATGGGTAATAGCACCAAGGAGCAAAAAAAATGTACTGAGAAGAACGAGACGGCAGACTGCGCAGGAAGCGATGCTCTGTTACGGTTAAAGGCTGAATTATAGTAGCTTCTGCGGACTGAGACGAGCAGAAGGTACATCTGAGACGAATGAAACAAGACAGAAGAAAGGGCGAAGATAGAAGAGGTAACATAAAAGCAATCATCAGAAAGGAGAAAAGTTGAATGGTGGATAGTAATCACAAGATGAATCAGGACACGATAATGGGTAGTGACCTGAATCCTATAGAGAAATAGAGCGTCAATGCATACTTTGACGCATTTTGTCCCCTTTTCCCATTATTCTCTCATTGAATAGATAGAAATAGTCGGAAAGGGGCCGGACGTGTAGGATAGCCCAGCACCATCGCATGTTGGGAGCCTACACATGCTTTGTTGGTGTCACCTATATTCTAGCCCTATTTTGTGGCTTCGTCTTAGCACCCTTTCCTACATGTTCATGTTGCCGGTTCGACGCATTTCCTGTCATCGCTCCATTTTGCTGAGTGCGAGATTAAACGCAAAAGGCCTTGTCTGCTGACCGTTTACTCTTATCTGTAATACATAGTGCACCCACCGTTTACACTAAAGGATAAGAGACTCACTGATAGTACTGATGTCGATACAAAAAAATATTGATAGGAAAAAGGGCAATGGGAGATAAGCCGACGCCCAAACAGACGAAGGCCGAGGGTCTAGGCGATCGATAGTCGCTGCTCTAATAAGAATAGGTGAAATCTATCTAAGTGGAAAATGATAATGGCCGGCGACTGAACGAGAGGGCTGAAGGAAGAGGTGCGGTTTGAAGGGCAGGAGTAATGACGAGACTAGTGAAAAACGAATGGAAAGCAGCAGACCACCAAAATCCAAAGCAGTTGAGTGAATGCGCAATAGTTGTAGTAGCAGCAGTGACACTGTCATCGTTGTAGAGAGAAATGGTGACTGACTCACCTGCTGTCGGTTATCCTTGGAGTACGGTAGCAATGTTGATACGTGGAACATAATTTCGTGCCCCTCGTAGATCGTATACACGGACTGTTTGCCAGTCATGTCTCCCTTGACGTCTAGTCCGCCCCTGTATTTGTCCCAGCCCTTAAGGCGCACTTTCCCGCCCAGCAAGTTGACCAGTCTCTCGAAATCCTTGTTTCCCGTTTCTAAAACGCGCGATAAATGTATACGTGCAGATTTAGAACGAAACGGTACGATCAGTTTTTGTATTATGCATTCCCATAGGTAAGTGGAGGTCTAATATAATCAAGATAGCTCCCGCCAATCCTACATGACGAAACAGAGTGTTTTGCGTCATTTCTATAATCTTCATTATTGCAACATTATTCAGGTGATTTTTACTTATCGATATAACTTGTA